CCCCCCCCCCCCCCCCCCCGGTCCCCTCCCATCCGCTTCCTGGAGTACCTTCATTGGACCTGAACAGATTTATCTTGCAACACAAGTGCATTGTCGAGTAACCGCGAAATAATCATGTGGTCGCAGCCCACCTCTTCCACGCCAGCGGCTGTTCCCGAGGGGCGAATCAGCTCACGCCCGAGATGATGCTCCACCAAGTCTGCCGCTGCGCCATGAGTGTTTGCCTTGGCCGCACAGTTCATGGAGAACGTTCAAGTTAGGCCAAGTGGAAAAGTGGTAAGCTGTCGATCGGCATGACAGATGGGACAAAGCTTCGCACACGGTGCTAAAGAGCGACGTGAGCGCCATCTTCACACTCGGGGCAACCCCTGGTTCTCCACTAAAATAGCGCACCACAAGAACGAGTCGGTTCTGCTTTCCAGTACGTCGGATACGAGGAACTGCTATTCAGAACTCACCTCTGCGAGGGCACGAACCACGATCATCTTCTGGAAACGGTTCAGATTTTCTTCCCATCCCGATGGTAGCGGCGCCCTATGGGCGGCAGCATCTGCTCGCCAGTCCTGCCATTGTGGCCACGATTCGGCTACCGACTTGCAGATACCCTTCATGGAAGGTATGGCGATCTCCGCTTGCTGTAGCGTTTTCCAACTCTGCAGGTAGTGCAACAAGAGCGGTAACGTAAGTATTATTCGCCAGTCCTACCCACGTATACCCCAGGAACCGAAGCAAACTGTTTGATTCGGGCAGAACGCAGTAGAGCGAGCGTTAAGTAACGTTCAGTGCACCTGGTATTCGTCAAGAACACATGGCACCTCACCCTCTCATCTAAGATGCTGGAGTCCGGATTGCTAACATTACTTCTCTGGTCACTTTCCCGGCCTCGGCTGGTCCTTCGGCGGAGGTTCGGTCCAGCTCCTTGCAATAAAAGCATCCACTCAACGTTCGTTATCTGCGCCATCGCCAATATTGGGACGAAAGCAGGATGTCATCCAGCCATAAAATGTTATCATCCAGAGACAAACCACAGCACACCAACAGACAGACTCCCAGTGGCGTTGTCAACCAAATCGACGGCTAGCTTGATGTATTCTCTGTGTGGGAGCCAGCTGAAGGCCAATGCCATGGTCCAAACCAATCAATTTCTGTCGATTGCGCTAGCACACCATCCCATGGCTCTGCTTTCTCGATATTGGCTCACGTTTGCCTCACTTAATGTCGACTGTTTCTGGGGCACGACAAACTACAATGACGGGTATATATATGCCAGCGCAATTGACCCTTACATCGCCCTTGGCCCGGAGGATACCGGTGCAGAGCATAAACGCAAACGGAAGTTTGTGGCGCTCGAATAGCCCCCTCGAAACCGCGCGATATACAGCCTCCGTGCTCTTCTCTAGGAGCAGCTGGAGCCTTGCTTGTAGTCCACCGTTTCCGGCGTCCAAGGTGTCCACGATGCAGTTCGTGAACAGAAGCTGGCATATAGCAGGGATGGTAAAGGTTTTCCAGACAGGTCGCGGGAGAGTCGGTATGCTAACAAAATACCCATACCTAGGGAAGAACACCGTTTGATCAGCTTTTAAAACAAACCGCAAACAATCGGCCGGTTTTACCACACCGTTAACATTGGAGACCACACACCCTCAAGCTATGCCGCGCTCTCACTTGGCAATTGGTTTCTGGCCTTTGTTTTCAGTTGCTGCTCGCGAATTTTGTTCTCGGTCTACCGTAGTAGTAGCGTTTGAAGGCCCAACACGCTGTGGTCACCGAAGTAGAACCATGCCTTTTATATTCCGCAATAATATCTTATCATCGCCGCATGGGCTTCGTCACAGAAGTGGTGTGGATGTCTTCGCGTAGTCAATCGTTCTGACCTCCATTAGCCCCTCTTCTTCCTACTCTTGAAGGCAAAGAAACGAACGTCGTGGTCACAAACAACCAAAAGAAACGTTCACATTTCGTACCAAATGCTGATTTTTCCCACTGGATTGCATGGAAGAAACAAACACCTCATATATATATATATATAGGTTTTCGAATGTGCGTATATATGCTGTCGTTGAATATGCCAGCCCGGCCTGAGGATTGCATCTCCTTTTATGCCTCACGGCTAGGAGCGTGCGATAGCAACACTGCCAGCAGAGCATGGCCCCCCTTGTGATCCCACTCCTTTAACACAACACCTCTGGATAGTGTGGCAACAACACCCGCAGAGGTATCACACCCCCGTCTTATCACGTCCCCAAAAGAACACCACCGCGTGGTAATATTTTCGAGTTCCAAAGTACCGGCCTATGTACATCACACCGACGACAAATATATCACCCCCGTTGAGAATGCAGAGAGATGGCAGCTATACTGGGGCATAGGGAGTGGGCTGAAAAGGCGGAGTGGTGTCTTTAGCATAGATCGGATGGGGACAACGTTTTTGACCCACTTTGGCAAAGAAGGAAGGAACGATTGGCCATTGGTGATCGGTCCTGTGGGAACAATGCTCGGTATTATCGAGGGCGCGTAGCCAAGGTACCCAAAACATGAATAACCCCCCCCCTCTTTGAGTACACCGAACGGGCGATAACTTCTCGAACGGTAAAGATTTAATATCGTGGCAATCGGCCGGTAGATATGCAGAAGACTCTACCTTCAAACGAAGGCTGGCACTCTCTCCACCTATTGCACCTGAAAGTAGTCCAGGCTGTACTGGTACATGACGTCAACCCTGCACAGCTCGGCGACTGTGAAGTAGAGGAGGGAACCGCGGACTGCAACTGGCCTGTAGCCTTCCCGACTTTCCTCAATCTGCCGTTTCGTGCTCTTGCTGTCGGCAAGGCGCTCGGCAATCACCTTACTCATTGTCTTCGATTTACTGAGAGTTGCAATGAGGGTCTGCGCCAAGACGTAATGGTTGAAAAAAGGAACGGACGTTGTTGTACGCTTGTGTTAGTCGATGAAAGGATACACGTGCAGGACTATCATCATGGTAGTCTTTACCAGCCAACGCCACCATCCGATGGGTGGAAAGCCTTGCTACTGCTCAACATAAGCTGCCATGTTTTACCCAAAACTCTTGTGTTGGAGCGCACCTCGTCATCGAGAACTTCCACTCCGCTGCTGGCCTCGTTGAGGAGTCTGAGAATCTGGTCTTCGATGTCCAACAACTGCTTTTGATCCGTGGCGATACTCGTGATCAGGTCGTGATGACGCTCTTCTAGTTCAGGTTGCTCCAATGTGACTACCTGTACGCGGACGCGGGGAAAGTACATGTCGAAAAGGTCGGTGCCGAAGTGAGTTTGCCAGCAAGTGTGTAAGTAGCCTTATTGAATGCAACACATTCTACGTGCACGACCGGGAGCGCACCTCGCCGAGTAGTTGCTCCTCCAAGCCACGTCTTGTGACGGTGAAGTTGATGAGGTTGACCCGAATAGCAATGTCGGCTTGGAAGTGTGGATTGGGCAGCTCCGTAGTCAGGTACAAACGGAAATTGCTATTGTACTCCACCTCGACATCTCCCAGGGGCAGGATCGTGCGCCCTCCCTGTGACATGCAGTGAGCAAGGAAAATACCTGGCGCTCCATTCAGATGCTCGAAGACTTCCCGACCACTCAAAATGATACCATGACAGCGTTCTCCTTGTGCATTAATTTATTGTTTACAGGCGCAATTCCAATGCCAGGGGCGGGAGTTACGTATTCACGTTGTGGCAAGAACCCTGCAACAATTGAGCGCGTTCGTTTTCAGGACGAAAGTGTACAAAAAAAACACCTTCAAGAAGGTCCTGTGACAAAGCACCGGATCCAGGACAGGGTCGATGCTCGTTTCAATGTCCTCAACCAGAAGACTCTTCCCTTCTCTAACTGCCAGTAGGAGGCTGCTCAGAAGCGAAGGGCTGCCAGCGTTTGCGCAAAGCAAACCCTCATCGACCTCGGGGCTGGCGTTCCTGACGGCGGTGGTCTCGGTCGACGAGATATTCTCTTGAGCAGCCGCTGTTTTTCCGTTGATTGTTTCAGTGGTTGCACGCGGGTTTCAGAGGCGTGCACAAAAACGCGGAAGTGAATGGTAGCCTTGGTGTAACGTATTAGCGTATCAGTGACATTCTCTTTGCGAGCACTATATGCAGTTTAAGGCCTCGGCTTAATATTGCAATACCTAGTCATACACGCGCCTGAATTATTTTCAACGAATCATTGAGTGCGGTAGGTCTACGCTGGAAGAAATTCACCTTTGTTCTTCAGCCAACGGCACGCCTGCCTCTGAGGATCGATCAACAATGGCCACCTTCCTGTGGCCACAGTGGTGGCTGCAATTGCGCTGTCCACAGAGGTCTTATCGCTTGGGAGCCCCTGTAGATGCCATTCTCTCAGGACCACCGGGGTAATCAGGACCTAACACATGCAGGGGTACGGTTGAAGCAGGTGACGAAGGGGACTAAGTAGAATGTTAGCCGTCGTCGATAACATCAATTGTCACCCAGAGAACAAATTGGTTAGAGAGTCTGTTCGCTACTGCAGCACTACTTTGGCCAGTTGTCATGCTTACCTGGGATCATGCCGGTCGCACGGGTGGCCAAGTGACCAGCGTCGTAAACCTACTAGTAGCGAAGATATTTTGCAATTCGACCCTCTCTCTGGAGAGAAAATTTAGATTTCGCACTTTGAGTGAAAAATGATTACTTCGGAGGCTGCACATGGTCGACAACGGAAAGGGACGGCCAACCCTTCCCACGAAACAACTATGGCAAACACCGCAAGAGAACAGATGGGGCAAAGAAAAAATATGCAACGTAAGCTGTGTGACATTCCAACTTTGTGTCCCCGGCTGATTCGTCAAAGATATGCACCCAAAGGTGCAGACTGGCTCCAGAATAGATGGGACGGATACACACATACGTGCTTTCACTGGTCAGCCGATTAGCGCGGTCGATGCTAATAAAACAACACACACAAACAAAAACATACACACCTGGGCGACAGAAAAGCCGTCGGACACACGGACACCTTTGTCCCTTAGAATGACCGTCCAGCTTTCAACCAAGGAATTGCGGAAGGGACCGGTGAAGGCTCCCAGGTAGGACACGAAGGCAGCGCTGAGGAAGATGTCACCCGTCAGGTTCACCTCGTGGTCTAGAATATCTTGGGCAGTTGCTGTCCATCGTTTCTGTCAAGGCCGGGAGCAAAGCCCGTACAACGTGGACTAGGCACGATCGGTATGTACTTCAACCTAACAATATCGCTTGAATAGAAAGGCGGTTGAAACACCGATATATTTTGACCATGTTGGTGGTTGAAGAAGATCACCGCTAGAGGCCGACATGTGTAGCGAGAAAACAAGCTTGAGCTGAGCGAAGCTCACAACGAGTTTGTTCTCGCCACTTTGGGCCTACCTTTTTTCAACGAGACATACACCTGCAGCGGTAGTAATAGTTTCATATCAACAAAATCCGAAACTTACATTTTCCTCTTCCAGGCCCGACGTTAGCTTCTCCGCGCGATCCAAGCGTTGGATACACCGTTGAACCTCGTTCTCAAGGCCTATTTTCTCTCGGTTGGCATCGTCTCCACTCTGCAGATACGGGTAGCGACCGGTTCGCGGGGGCACATCCTAGAATCATCTGTTTCAAGCTCGTTGTCACACACTTGCTTCTTCTAACTTTCCGATCGTCGTCTATGATGTTTCTCACAGCGAAATAGCCTCGTTGTCACGGTCTGATCAGCCAGGCCGCCAAGGTGACAATGAAATACCTGCATCAAGAGAGCCACTTCTTCCTCGATGCGGTGCACTTCGCTGCGCTTGGTCCGGAGAACGTCATTGGCTTGTTCCAGCTCTTGATTCAATACCTGTTGAGAAAATCATGTTGGCAAAGAGACTTGAAGCGGTTTGACCACCCCGGTCGAACTAACCAACCCTCGCGTCTGTCAATCAAGAAACGCGTAGCACCTAGAACCTGATCCTGCCTACAGTATTATCTTGTCCGCGATACATACCTCGACGGTGTCTATTCTCGGTTTCACTTCTTCGAATATATCTCCATACTGGTCCATCGCATGCACCCACATGCACATCCCCGCAGCCGCCAAAGATACCTGAGGTTAGAATTTTCGTCGAACATACGCAGTTGGGTGTTGTCGGTCAACACCATACGTTAACAGCGCTAGCGTGCTCGGCGAATAAAAAGCATGACAGGCCGTTCCGGCTGCGGATAGGCGTCAAAGCAGAGATGACACTATGTAACTACTCTTTCGTCCCCCAAACGGACGGGGGTAAGCGAACGAATTTGATACGAAACACCCAATCACAAACACAGCACGTACTTTTCGGAGGCGATCGACGCTCATATTTTCGTCGTCCACATAGCGCTTCAGACTCTTTCGTCTCTCGGTGTTCAAGGTGTCCTTGTTGTAGTTCCTCAATTCGTCCATAAAAGAATTTCGGCTGAGCACGCGTTTTGCGCTGTCCCAGTCCTGCGGAGGAGGGGTACGAGTTTAGCCGCTACACGTAGCTAGGTTGTCGTTCCTATGGTATGAATAGTAGGCTCAGTACTACTGGTGCACCTCTTCTTGCACAGACACGCAGATTGCCGACACGCACCTGGTCTTCTGACAAGAGGAGGCAAACGGCGTTCATGACAGTCTGAACGGCCTGGGGTGGGTTCTGGAAGCTTTTAACTTCACTAATGTCGTCTCGCTTGAGCGAATTGAGAGCCTTGATTGCTTCTTCAAGAGCCGGCAGAGCCTGGTCCAGGTTTTTTTGGGCCTCTTGCTGCAGTACCGAAATCTGCATCAACAAGGCGGGCGACGGGCATGGTTCGAATCCGTTGGTTTTCTCCATCCCGTGTTACCCTTTTCATCGGCATTCTGCACTGTCGTCATGCCCTGACGCGGATACCTCACCTCTTCTTGACGTGCGGCAACAGCTGCTTCGTCCTTGGCCACCCTCTCCTTTATGGCTTCCGCTTCTTTTCGCTCTTCGTCAACCTGTGGGTAGCATAGTGTGAGTCGTGGGATCGCGGAGAGGGACTGACCTCCATGTTCCTGCACCAACACACACATACTGCGCAAAACATATTGCTAAATCGGATCCCAAGGACTACACCAGGAATTATTGTGCAACAAGTTTAAGTTGGGGGCGCATGAAGCGCGCGACCACAATGTATGGTTCCAACGAAAACAGCACATGCCGAAGGGCATATAACGGGTCCCCAAATTGACGCCGCCACAAAAAAACTCCTGAACGCCATCAACATACTTGAGCGAGAAGTCCTTCCGCCTCCAATGCTTTTGACTCCAGAAGAGGTTGTAACTCGGTTAATTCGCACTTGAGCCCCTTGATGATGCGGCCTGTTTCTTCCAGCTTTACTACACCGTCCTGCAGGCTGCAATCGAACAACAGTGGCACACATCAAACAGAAAGTCCGGGCGGTTTGTGATGCGCGAACACTTCAGTGGCGGCATGAACAGATGCGTTGGATGATCGGGGACATCACGTATACCTCAACAACGCCGAATATATGGCAGTGGCAGCGCGAAATACCCTAGCTTAAGGTAGTTCTACCTAGAAATAGGTGGCGAAATCGTGTCGTTCGGAAACATCACTTGCCTTGCTAGCCTCGTGGACAGGGCCGTTCTTTTGTCTCGTAAGATGTTCAGAAACGTTCGCAAGAAATCCAGGAAAGATTTCGGCGAAACATAAATGCGACGCCCTAGCTGCGAAAAGAACGACGCCGCCGCCGGTTCGACCTGTGGGGCGATCCATGTTTGAAAGGTTGAGAAAATCGATCAATTGACAGTTCGTAAAACGTTTGGCGCAACGTGGCCAACCCGGTGACGCCAATACCTACAGTATCGCTGCGGGAACTAGTCGGGAACGTACCGTGCTTTACGAGCGAGCAGCTTGCACCTTGGCGCTTGTTGGGAAAGCTCCAGCAACTTCTAATACGCTCAATCGCTGTTAATGTCCCCACTTTTACGACGGGCGGCTGCGTTGGCCCCAAACTTAAAAATATGTCCACGCAAGAACTCGCTTCCTTAGGGGTACTCACCCCTCCGTGCACCTCAACCGACGTCCTTATGAGGGCAGCGGCCAATTTTGGCCCAACCCCGCATTCGTGCGGTCCCGATGGCACCAAGGCCAGCTCGGTCAGAACCCGGTGAGCTACAGAGTGAAGAGCAGTCTTTGGCCAGGCGTTGTACCAATCGATTGTGCTGCGAGAGAGGTGAACAACGGTGGTTGGGTTTTATCGACCATATCAAGCACAGTTTGGCTTTGGACGGCTTCGGGTGCAAGACGATAGCATCAGCGCTTCAGGATACTTAGTTATTTTCTGTTTCTTGACATCGTCCATTTTCTCTTGGTGCAATTTAAAATTTGCAGCAAGTACAGTTCGAGGAGGTACATGTACGCATAAACACTACGCTTGTTACCTGCAGTTGACAAGGCTGGGGAAGTTTCTGATCCGTTCACGGAAGGTCGCTCCAGATGGGTCCAAGCAAAGGATAATATGCAGGTGATCTCTCACTTGCGCCGTGAAGAAAGCCATGGACCTCGCCTGAAAAAGTGCACACATGGAAGATCGGATAGGCATGCTGAAAACGAATACGCGTTCGAATCGTAACTTACATGTTGCAAACGCGGACAAATCAGCCACGATCCAAACGCTTCGTAAGACTTTGTTTGCCAAGGGGATAAAACGTGTTCCACTCACTCGAGTGTCGGGCTTCCCAGTGGCCCGAACAGCGTCTCGCACTCTGATGACGATGTCCGCTTCTTCGTCTGGTGTGAAGAGATTCGGCACTTCCCCGCTACCAAGCAAGCAGTTGATATCTTCAAGCATAGCTTCGTCCAGAATCTGCTGAGCGCGACGTATTCACATCTAACTCGAAAACAAAGCTTGGAAAATTTGCATGCGAAGACCAGCACCTATTGAGAGGGAATCGCCACTACATGCAGGGGCATCCTTCTATCGTGAGGAGGCCAATGCCGCTTGGGCGCAATTCAACTGCGAAACCTATGCTTCAACCTCAGCCCCCTGCAGACGGTATCTCAGTACGGACGGTCTGATTGTGGGCGCGGACGGGGTCAACGAGGAACCGGAAGAGCCATGACGAAGCAAGCACCGCCTTTCCGTTCAACAACTCACACAAGTGTAACCGAAAACTCGAAAAAATTACCCCAGCACAGAATACACATATATACTTGGACCATTGTTTTCGTATGTTCATCTTGGTGAATAATACTCCTTGTTGATATTGCGACTTTCTTACACCAACAGGTGCATAGTGCGGGCAGGGTACCCGAACAGTTCTATAGCCCTCCGCACGGTACTGGAAACCGTGTCGGCTCTCCGAAAGAGGCTGACCAAAAGAATAAAGTTTGTCGGTCGGTGTACCAACCCTATTCCCAACCCGACCGCAAAACACTTGCTACATTAGCGTGCATGGGATACACTGTTTTGTGAATGTGGTGGAGCTTGGCCGTGGCTACTCCTTGGTGCTGGCTAGTTCCTCTCCAACGCGATACTTCGATGTGAAAGCATGAGACTATAATGAGCGGCTGCAACCTTGGGTTTGGAAAATGATGAGTACCTAGGGGATCCGACCCCGTTGTATGTACTCGCGATATACCCCCTCCGCGCCGGTTCCACTTTGACAAACCTAAAATACTTCTAGGATGTAACACACTGTGTGCCCCGCTCCATCGGAAGCATACCTGGGCATCCTTGAGCAAGAAAACGGTGTGCTTGGTGTCAATACCAGCTGTGAGAACAGCATTCTTGAGGTCTTGCTCAAACTTCTGGATGCCGTAGTCATGAGTCACGTTTACGCGAACAAGCGTAGAACCAGCCATACTTGTGGCGAGATGTACCAACGACTCCCTCCCACTTCCTGTACAACAATTAGAACGTGTTTGCGCAAACGACAACGAGGTTTTGACGACCAGCTTCAGAAGCCTGGCATGGCAAAGGAGGCTGCCCATTAGATCCCCCACCCTCGGCTTCGTGTAAGAAGTGAGTCCATAACCCACAATCAAAAGCATGCCTACATACTCTTGTGACTGTCGGCGAAGACGCAAGGCAATGATGGTCGTGTACATTTTGCCGAGAACAAGATGGTGTACTGTAAAACCGGCAGGTACTGGTTGTTATGAACGCATACCATCCGTAAGTTTCCGAACTAAAGTTCACTGACCGCACAGCGGCAACATATTTTGTGAGTTTTGACGGGCAGAAAAACCAAGCAAGTTTCAATGTGCGAAACGTACCCACTGGATCCGATGCAGCGCTGTTGGGACATTATTTTTAGACAGGCGGAGAGGGCAAGATCAGTCGGGTACATTGGGGGGGCAGAGGATACCAACGTTGGCAGTGCATGTGTTACCTGCTAGGCCAATTAGCATGGCGTTTCCTCTTGGTTGCCTAAGTATCCTTGAGATGCGCAGTAAATGGCGCACCGCGTCGGGGAAAAACACGAGGGACATCTCCACCCCGTTCCCTCCGATGTTGCATTCATCCTGATAATGGCGGAGTTGGCGCACCACTCGTCGCAAGTCTGAGCATTCCTCGTACAATCTGTGTAGAGGGATAGGGTTAAGGCTGGGGTTAGGACTATCGGCGGCGCGTGACCCGGCAAATTAGAGCAATCTCAAGATACCCATCCAGCAAAAATCACGCGCGCCGTTTGTGCTATCTCCATGTCTTTCTACCTTTCGCTTGCGACCGTCCCGGTCCCGAGCACGTCGCTAAACAACAGGAGGCTTTCCCCCTGGTCAAAGTCTTCTCCCGGTTTAGGGTCCCGCATCTCGAATAAGTCCTCGCGCTGCCAGCCAGGGCCAGTCATCTTGAAGTGCCTGCATGATTTTTGGATGGAGAGTACGCGTGTGACACAATTTGCGTGTATTTAAGCAGCTCACTCTCCTGATTGCGCATTGTACCCTCACCTAGAATCCAAGAGTGCATTGGCCATGACATCAACGTTTTGAACTTTGCTCGGAAGGACAACAAAGCCAGCTTGCTGCTGTAGCCAGAGCGCTCACCCAAGAGGTTTTGCATATCAGATTTGTAGTGGATAACAGACGGGAGCCGGACGGAAACTGACCTCCCGACAGCCTCGATGAGCATATGCTCAAAAACGATGAGGTGAGGCGGGTCTGCCAGGCGATCCCCGAAAACCCTTGACATTTCGTGCATCCACAAGCGTACCATACCAGCTGGACCCTGTACACTGTGATGCTTTACCAGCAAAATCCCCTGTTTTGCAATGGGGATCGATGCAAGGAACGATCAGCGAAGTTGACGGAGCAGGAGGCAAAAAACTGCCTGTGAAATGAACGAAGAGCTCATACGATCCATACATGTACATGTACATTCTGTGAAATACGCTCGTACGGGCTACCTTGAGAAGCGTTTCAAAATGTCGGGCAGACATTTTATCCGGACACCACACTCCTGTGCTATGCCTACCCACCAGGGCACCCAAGTACGGCACTGCGCACTCGCCTGCACCACTTTGCTGATGTCACGCAAGTTAAAAGTGTAGTGTGGCCTCGAAGGCGTCGGCAACATCTCCCGTTCGACCTTGCCGTATACTTCCAGGGTAGCTGAAACGAGGCCGTCACTGAGGTTTGCTACTGTTGTCGAGAAACCCTTCGCCAAGAACCCCTTTAGAATTGACCTAAGGGGGATAATAGGCGCGACAGAGTGTGACAAGTACGACAAGTGGCACATGGGCGTTCAAGACTTTAGTAGAATCCCAGTGAACTTGTGGGTAATACAAAACGGACCAACCTTCATGTGGGAAAACGACCAACCGTCCCTCTCGGTAGATTGACCAAGGTTCTTATTCAGATGCCGACCTTCTCGTACTCATGTATCGGCATTTCTTACCCGAATATGGCCGTGTTGGACGCCGTGCACTGAGTGGGGAGGCACATCACGCTGAATAAGCGAGAAAATCGTGCCGGGGGTGCACTGCGAGCACCACCCGGCGGCGCAGCTGCAACGGTAACAACCGTATCCCGAACCTTCCGCCAGAACAGTCTTTCTCGGTCGTAGAAACCACCTTCGGACACCTGAGCAAAGTACACACATGCACACAACGACCGTAGACGTTTGGAGCACCTGCCACTGCAAGGCAGCGATGCGCATGTCTCAAGACTGCGCATACTTTCTTGTGAGTGTTGGGAACATTCTCGAGAAAGCCCCACGTCCCTGTCACCAACGTGTCGTCTCGTCATTTCCAGGTAAGGCATGTCGTACAAAACCTAACAAAATTACCAACTCTTATATACTGACCAGCTGGCGTAAAAGTTCCACAGGTGGTTGCGAATCAAACGCATCCCGGGCAGGTAGATTTACATCATCCACGAAAATGACGTTTGTTTTTCCTTCTGGCGCGCTCAGTAGATCTTTGTGCACAGACACCATCTTTGACTCGAGCGCCATCTGGACCCCCTTGGAGGTACTCCTGGCACTCATGTTCACCACCACGGGCTACGCGACCATAGCACGATGATGGGAGTTAAGAAGTGGATCGGAACAGACGCCAGGGATGGGGAGATCCAAACGGCCAGGTTAAGGTGTGCACAATCACACTTTTGCTTGATATCAAATATAACACCCAAACATTTGCGAGGAAAAAAGAAACTCGCTAGTACATGAAAGCATGTGAGGAGTGTCTTAAGGCACCTTCGAAGGTCCAGAACATTGGGATAGAACATCACCACGTGCGTCGAAAGCCGTCAACTCCTGAATATGCAGGTACTTAACTTTCAAACAGATGCACATTCTGCATAGCACGATCACAGTAAGTAATACGATTGTCATTGATCTTGGCCTCTTGTGCAATGATAAACTTTCTTCCGCAAGTGTGACTGCCGCGAATAGTACAACCACTTTGGTTGAAAGTTGAGCGTCCACCGCGAATGGGTTGGTCGGCAATGATTCCTACGTATGTCACACCTGAACGCTGAAGTGCAGAAGCTCCGGTGACCTCCACTCGAGACACAAAGTAGGGTCTTCATCTAAGGCCGAGGGCCTGTGCCGAGCTACCATTGAAGAGGGTAGCTTCGTTGACCCTTGCGCCACCGCCGGTGCGGTTGGAGAGGGTTGAAGGTGCGAATGCCGCTGGAACAACTACGGCACAAAACGGGGTAACGCAGGCCGTTGGAGTGTCCAAAGCGCAAATTGACGGTTATACCTAGTGTCTCTACCGTTCTTGTGTGGAAAAGCATCGTTCACAGTGACGTCTCGTAGTTCAACGCCGTTTCGTACCATTTTGACGTTCTCCGTCAAGGACACAGCTTCACGTTGTCGTTGGACAGGGAATGCGGTGAGGAACGATGTTTCAGCTTGAGTCTCACGCAAGGCCGTTACCCATGCCACACACTAGATCACCATCTGCTGATTGTTCCAGCGTTGTTGCGAAGTTTACACAATCTCACATGAGCTGCGAGCATGGTCTTGCCAGTACCACTTGCGCCCGCCAGAAACGTTGGGCGGCCGGCTTCCAGATTAGTTTCCAAGAGGAATGAGTAACATTCGGTCTTGGCCGTGGGCACCATCATTTCGTACACAGGTACGTTCGGTTGGTATCTGGTGAGTAGCGAGACGGGGAAAACAACGCACAGAGAACACAAAGATTCAGAGATTCACCACCCGCAAAGAGACGTGGCGAGACTGGTACGGTCTGTATAAAGGTGTTAAGCGTTAATTGCACCGGCCAAATCTAAAGGCCACAATACGCAACACCACACCCTCACTCGAAAGAAGGGACGTCCACAGTCCATGAGCGCCATTCGTACGGCCGAGCTCCACCCTGTCCTGGTGGATAGAAGTGCGCGTAGTACTCGAATACACTGCCAGTTCGAGGTAGACTGAGAGTATTGTAGAGTCCAGAGGTCTTCAATCAACGGGCGTGATCAAAACAATAGGACAAAAGGCAGGAACGCGAAGGTTAGCTAAAGAACCCTGACCATGAGATCAATCTTATTAAGTGAAGAGGGTGGCGGGCAGTAGTCAAAGACACTTCTTGGGCGCTGTTGCACGACAATGCAAGCAGTATCTCCGCGATTTCCTCGATCACCGAAAACAAAAGCACGCACCTGAACTATATCTCTGACGTATACGTCAAAAGCAAGAGCCGGGTCTCCAGTCAGCCCCCCACCGAGGCCCCATATCATTGCAAAAAGAAACGTCTGATCAATTTCGCCGTGCGAAGGAGCGAATCCACCAACGGCTGCTTTAGCACCACCAACATTGCCCTCGAGAGCGTCGTCCCCAGAGTCTTCTGTCGCACTGACAGGACCCGTAGCACCTTTCCGGGGGAAGGAGGGGGAGTCCATCGCTGCTTGGTTTGCCATGAAATCGGCAGCGCGAGCGTGTAGCTCTCGTTGGCGAGCAATGAAGCCCTCGAAGAGAGCACACAAGGACTGCACTCGCTGAACCTGGACGATGGGCATCAGGATAGACACAACTTGTTTCTGCCGGTATTTGTTGGCCGTGAATCGTGAATGACGGAACAAAGGGCTATACTCTATGGAGCATTCCAATTTCGATATATCCCATCGAATTCATGTGGCAGGGTGGGCAAAGGGACAAGCAACAAGCCTGCAAACCCCTAGACGCCTTTTGGCCGTACAAGCTTGACCTGAACATATGCGATCTTGTGCTTTGCCCACCTGTAGTGTGACCACCTCCTCTCGGAACACTGCATCGCCCCGTCCTGCCATATACGCTAGTGTCGGCCACATGAGCTTTTGTGCAAGCTCCGAAAGCCTAGCTCTAATGTTGTTGGCGCGGGAAACACCGATGCCATCGAGGAGTTCGCCGAGCTCGGGACCATCCAACCATGTCCGGAACGCCGCACAGGGGGGAACACATCTTCGCGGGACATACACCACGCCTAGTCGACTGGACAATGCAAATGGCACAATTAAGGAGATAATAACAGTTTAACATGGCGGTGGACATACACCATGTGTGAAGTCGTTCGAAAGCCATGGCCAGTAGCATTCATGTGATATGCATGCATTGCGACGTTGTGAACCAACCAAATGTCACATCGTGAGCACTTGTGGTCACGGTTGCAAGTGTTTGGTACTGAACCGGATTCACCTGACGGTCGCAGGAGAAGCTTGAACCAAGTCCTCGACTTCAAAAAGGAGACGCATGCTGTCGACGTTGAGTTTCACACGTTCACCGGACGCTAGACACAACGTACGGTTGTCATCTAACGCGGTGTTCATGGCCTCGATCCACACAACGTCGATGGGGCCATCGAACACGATCCAGTATTCCGCACTCATCTAACATTGACGCGAAGACGAAAAGGTAACGAATATCAACGTATTATTCTTGTCGTTCTGCTGGGGCAAGCCAAATCAGTGAATTCTGACTGCGAGGGCACAGAGAATCCATCGAGACTAAACAGACCTTGCCGCTGGCGAAAAAGGAAATACTCGGGTTGTGTCTTCACATGATGATGGCATACGGGCATTACTCTGCTGTTTAGCCAATACAACCAACACGATACCTTTGAGCCCAAAGTTGCAGCACGGCGCATGAGGCTAGATCCCACTCCATCCCTCCATTCCATTGTAAACGGGTTGAACTGCCCGTAAAGCTCACCGATGCTGATAGCCTTGGGATTCACCACACCTATCTTAATCTGCAAAACCAGCGGAGAGACAGCGCGCGCAGGAAAGGATGCACTGACTACTGGTTGTTAGGCATGAGCTCGCCAAGTGCCAAAATGTGCCGCTATTGCGACCTTGGATCCTTGTTTCAGAATTTTCGATGTACCCTGACTGGTACACGAGCGCAACGTGCTCAATATGGTTGGATTTTTCATGCTGTCGATCCACCTGTGGCCATGCTGTTGGAATCTTGTCCTCCAGGTCTTGCTCGCTTTGCCCCTCGGAACTTTCCTCGTCCTTCATGTTGTCTCGAGCTGGCGGGAGCCAGGTCGTATTGTTGGCCACCGCAATATTGGTACCGCTTGTAGCATGGGCCTCAGTGACTCCTTTTTCGAGCCCTTGGTTGCCGTTTGAAATCTGCTCGGTCGATAGTCAAGGACGTTAGCAAATAGCCAGTCGGTCTGCTGCTATTGCCTGTGATAGTTATTAACCACGCGCGCTGCACAACACAACAACCAGTAGGGCACTGTCCGTTGCAAGACCTCGATAGACATCTCAAGAACTTGGGATGGGGCAACGACGTAAATGCGCCGGAGACAAAAGGCTCGCCTGTTGCAGTTCCTCGCCCCTGAGCCAAGTGGATCCTTCCGCTAGTAGTCGAAGTAGTGCACTTTTACCAGCGCCCGCATGCCCCACAAGAGCCACTCCGAAGCGAACCTTGCACAGTTCAAAACAAAGGGCATTCTACTTGGTTGTGTAGTCCAGTAATTGATTGAAGCATAACGCGGCAAGGGAGTTCCTGACCCGTTGGTGCTTGTGCAATGCTTCCGCAAATCGATGTCGCATCAAAGAGACGAAGTCTGAAAGACACGGCAACCTTGATTCTCAAACCTCAAACCAGATAGTACCTCCATCGTCTCATGAAGTTGATCAATTTTTGTCATCTGTTCCTCCAATGGTTGTAGACCCATTTCCTTGGCCGCTGCAGCAACTCCTCGGTGGAGAATGTCGTGCGAGGGAAGAGGCAGTGCCTTGCGGGGAAACAAGTCTCCTAGTATCGCGATGAAAAGAGGAGTATCGCGTTCCAGCAGCTTCGGCAAGTTGCTGCTACAAAGCGCCTGCACGGGTGGCAGATCGTACTAACATTTAAGACGTATGCATACAAGTCGTGAGAAACTTCTCGCAGTCATGGGTAAGCGATATTTTTTTGCACGGGCATCACAAACATGAGGATCATTCCAATGTGCAAAGGCAATCTCGTTTCCCAAACGACCGACATCGACGAGCTATGACGATCCTTCACACTCTGCTAGTTACAATATCTTGCCTGTATGAGCACATCCTCTTCAGGTTGCATTGCGCCATGCGTCTGTTGTCGCTTGGCTTGACCGGCAAACACAAGGATTGATTTCACTGCGCGCATGCCAAAGTCGTAGTGAGGCTGCTGGCTCAGCTGCTCTGAGCATAGGTGCGCCAGCGTGGAAACCTTTGCGCTCAACTCCTGCATGACAACCGCAAAGAAAGAACAAGTGGCATCTCTTGTTCACGATTGCACAGTGCAATAAGGTGCTCTCAGTCGATAACGTTCTGGACGTTCTAGCACATCAGGATTTGACGTTCTCTCTTGTTCAACGAAAGAATCAATGCGCGGACCCTGCTGGACGACACAATAGCAATAGTGAGAGGCGGGGTCCTTGACTAAGATGGACCCCACCAACAATCGTACCTTCGCGTGAGCAAAGCCTTCGCTGTAGAGGATAATCTCGGAGATGAGCGAGTAGTCCGGGACCATCATCGCTACAGGACGAAAGCACGTCTGGTGAAACGTTGACACGACATAGAAAGAGGTTCGTGAGTGTAGCCCGCCGTGTAGACAATAAGCTAGATCTTCAACATATTGTTCGAGGCAGTAGAGATTTCCTGGAAAGAAGAATATATTGCCGCTAGGACCGACTTTGACCACCGACACCACCACCACCACCACCACCTGCACAAACACTTCTGAGCCTTCGCGCGCGGGAACAACGTAAAGTCTCTCAGCGAACAATATCTACTTCTTTTTCTTGGACGTCGAATTGTATAATGTTCAAACCTGGAGATTGTTGGGAAGCTCTGTTCGACCGGAGTATCCTGGATTCATCGTGACCACCACATGATGGTCCTTCAGAGGAAGTGCACGCCCTTCGAACATGACCTTTGTTGCCCCCGCCAAGCGGGCGTTCCGCAACACCATCAACTGCACGAAAACGCACAAAAGGCCGAAGTTTTACAACCCAGAATGTACTGGTGCTCTTCTCTTTCCGTGTGACAAAAGGAAATCTCGTCGAGATCGTGGGGTATCGCTGAGTAGCAAATCGGGGAGACCTTGGTTTATGAGCGAATCCCGCGATACCGAAAGAGCCATATGTACATACACAGGGAAAAGGATACATTGTACCTGCTCCGCGATGACGGAAAGCACTTCGATGTTGATGCGGTTGAACTCGTCCAAGCAAGTCCATGCCCCGGTTTGCGCCAGCCCGGCCAACAGCCTTGCAGGCATTGTGTGGTCGATCTGATCTGAACAGTTGAACACGATACACTACCGTGGAAGAACACACGCGAGGTGCAAGCTGGTGAGCGCGCAGAAGAATATTGTTGCTTATTGGCATCACTGCTTGGTCCCGTTTCAGTTCACCTATCTGAGGTGCGCGCGCATCGCTTGGGTTCCCGGACCTTAGTATGCTATGCATGCAATGAAATGCGCAACCAATAAAGCCTCTGTGATTTCTGTCTCAAACCAAGAGCGACCTCAGAAATTTGTCACCTGCGTGCCAAGGCCCTTCGCCAAGTCCTTTGTAGACTCCGTCTTGCCCGTTCCCGCCGGACCAAGAGGGTTTGCGCCCAGTTTCAAGTCGAACGCGCCCGTTATCGTCATCCAGCACCGTTCAGTGAGTGGCGTAATGACCAACCGAGTGCTGGCACCCTGATACTCAAAGCCATATCGCATTATGGCCGTGCTTTGCCGAATTTTGACGGTGTCAGCATCCCAATAGAACCTGCAGGGACGAATTAATTGCCGCGCGTTCAGAACACCGCTACCATGGGAGCTACATAGTATTGTCGCGCGCAAGACCTGCCGATACTTCCTTCCTTCAACATGGAACAACAGTCAGTGATTTTACTACAACCACGCCGTTGAGAACAAGACGCCCCCGCCACGTGGTACACCCCAAGTGGTTCTGACATGTGCGCACAGAGTGTCTTCACTCGAACCGGGATTGTTTTCTCACGTTGTCCCCAAATTCGCGTTGGTAACCATCGATTCGTGTACACACAATAAGTCGTCTTCACTTTAGACGAGGGAAAGGAACGGCTATAGCCACGGCCGATTCCTTCGCTCGATAAAATTACAGCAAAAATTCCACACAAGGACGGTGGAAAGGCGAAAATTGGTTTTGTGGCCTTGCCCCTGTGTGACCCCTGCTGGTGCGTTCAAAACGTGGCGTCCAGAACAAATGGGACAACACACACACTGTCGTCAACAATAGTCTTCGTCGGGGATCTAACTGGGAAAATCAAATAAAAATGTAGTAACACATAGTCCAAATCGCACTCATTAAACATGCTAGGTGAAAATCTAGAGTTACGCGGACGCACCGGAGCTGTGCCTGCCACAGAAAGTTCTGGGGATCGCTCACGTCCTTGTTTACCAATACCTCCACCACGTCCCGATTGTGCACTTCAGCGGTCACCAAGGCCACAGCCAGAGTTCGTTGAAGTGGGGTCATTTCTTCCTGAGGAAGTGTACCGAACGCAAGCATCACACAGGGAACCTTCAGCAGGTCTACACTTAGGTAGGAGTCTACAATTGTCGCAAGAGAACGGTGGTGGTGGGGGGGGGGGTGCAAGGGTGTCGGATAGGTAGAGACGTTGGGAAAAATGCGCGCACCCCTTGTAAGGTGAAAAACAACGTGTAGGCTGTTCTAGGCGTATTGTGACACTGCTTGGCATGCCTGAATCCGTGCAACGAGCGCATGAAGACCGGTGATGCTTGTTTCAAGCCATGCTCCCATCACTTGAGACTCCCCTTGCAGCTCCCTGCACATCGCGTTCTCCGTGGCCCTAGAAATGACATGAACGAGACGGGATGAGTGCACACCTCGGAAAACGCTATGCCGGATTGAACCTTCATGCAGCGAGTGCGGTCAGGTTGATGATGGCATGCCTAACCACAAGGAAAACACGAGGAAGCAAAGTCGAAGCGTGTTAAGATCGGGGCATCACTCTGCCCCCCGCGGCTTACCTCGCCCAACATATTTGAAAAACCGTCGCTACCACCTGAGCAGGTTGCCCTTCCAGAGCCCACGCCACTCTCGCATCGGCATTGTTTTGCACATTCCGAGAAGGCCTCTTGTTGCGGACACGGCCAATACCTGTGTCCATGACGGCACAAAGAAGTATGTGAACCGCACGGTGGTACATGTTCCATACATTACTGGTAAAGCTCCACGGCTGAAAACGAAACGTGCATTCCCGAGAGCCGATGCATATTCTTCCATTGGCTCACATTTCAAACCACCGCACAGGCTCGATAGGAAAATAAGGCGCAATACATTAGCCCACGAGCCTTCTTGCCTCCATCGAAGTTGATGCCCTCGAGTTCGGTCAAGGCAACCTTGATGAAGCGATGAAGAACCTTGCGCATGTTTTCCTCCATCGCCGTGAGCCAGTCCTCCAGCGCGCCCCGGGCCTTGAGGTTTGGTCCCAAGGCCAGGCTTTCCCCTTCCCGACTTACCTAAGAACGGGGGAACTGATCTAAGTATGATTGCCATGTTGTGGTAAGGTGCAGCTCTCAGATTTGGAATTCCCATGTCGTAATAACACGGGTTGGACAAATCCGGCAAGAGCGTTCTTGCCTTTCAATGATCGTGAGCATAAGTAGTGGTGGCTCGGGGCTCCACGCATGTACCCTACAGTTATTTATCGCCCATGGCGTTCAGATCTCTAAACAACGAGATGCTCCTCCTGTCCTTAGGCGTTGGAATATGTGAGGATCTCGTTGACTGTACTAGTAGACGTTGTACGTCGCGTTGCGATCTTTTAGGAGTAGAGCAAGGAACTAACGTGACGCTGAACTTGATTGCAACCTTTTTGCATGTATTCACCATAGCATTGATGGTGTTAGAGCCAGGTCCGTCCCCAAAGTCGAGAGAATGGACCGCATCAAAGCATTTTCGCAAGTGTGGCTGGACAGCGTTCGTATCGCGACAGCGACTTAGTAGCTCCAGTAGCTCGTCATCCGCAAGGAAGTAGAAACGAGGAAACGCCTGCCGTTTCACCTGGGCACAGCATCAGAGATTGAACAACATCGTTGAACAACGTGGACGATGTCAACATCAGCCACTCGAGTGCAACATATCTACAACACTGCCTTTCATTGTAATGATTATATGGCGGCCTGTTATGAGAGAAGTGCAGGCGAAGTGCGGAGTGTCCTAGCCCTACTTCCTGCAGTCTCGATACGCTCTGTCGGACAAGTTTGTCGATGAAGTCGCGCGGTCATGATGAACTACCCATTTGGCCTTCCACGACGTGGACGTGTAATACAAGTAAAAACTGACCTCGAGAAACGCGTCCAAGCCTTTTGCGATTCCTTCCAGAATCTCGTTGTTTCTCTTGAACTTGTCTAATAAACCCGGTGCAATCCCGGCTGTGAGACAGTGGGGATGCTCCGCGATCTTCTTCATAGTGTCCTTGAAAAACGTATCGACCGCCCTGTGCCGTCGACAACAGGTGCCACCGGTTATAGCATAGCAGCGAAGATGATCACAGGCAAAATAACGCGGATCTACCTGCCTCTTCAGGCCTCGCCAAATGGGAGATGTCGCATCTGGCCTACCCACCAAGTAGGAGGTTGCCGGGGCAACCGCCGCCAGACGTGGGGGAGAAGATAGTACTGGGAACAGTTTGGGTACAGAGTAGGACTACCAGGCCGGGACAGGAGGCATGATCCGTTCCACAACTAACATCAAGTGATCAGACATCTTGCAGAAGAACGCTGCTGTTTCATTCACGCACCACCAGTAAACGGGGAAGAGGGAAATTCCTTTGTTGCTCGTCAAAGCAAATACATATTGATCTGCCGTACCACCAAGAGGCGCACGGGTGCTTTGACACACCTACCAAGCGCTATATGTCAGCAAACTCTTAAAGAAATTTCCCACCTGAAAGCTCTGGCCTCCCCAAGAAGCTGTTTCTGTATATCAGGTGCGGCAAAAATTGACGAGATGTACCCCCACATGCGCTGGAGAACCAACCACTCTTCCAGCGTAGCCTGCTCCGAGATCGTCATGTGGGGAGAGGTTACTTCAGACCCGCAAACCAATATCTGGTTCGGATAGGTGACTGCTACAGACCATCAACTATGCCCCTTTCATCCTCAAGTCTCCGTTCCGTACCTGCAGCAGGTTTAGCTTGCCCCCGAACTCTTCCGCTTCAGAGCGGATCGGGCCGACGTGAGGCGATGCTAGGATATTGCCCATGGTAACGACACAGTCGTCTACACGAGCTGTGAGGTCGTCCGTGTCGCTCAGAATCAACACATCTTTTTTCTCCTTGTGCGCCTTCAATTCGAACGTCGCATCAGCCCAGGCGCATTGAACCTGGTACAGGACCATTGGAATTTGCCAAATCCATGCAGACATGGTGCGAGATGGTGGGCCCTCTCTGGGGGTCAGCTTGTTAAGGATTGACTGGAACATGGCTAGGCTGGTTGCTTTTAATGTGCAAACGGGTGCCATGGTTTTGGTGTGCCGCCAAAACACGAAATGGCACACTTGTTTGACAGCATCCGTGGCACAAAATATCAAGAGCACTCCTCAACGAAATACTGAAAGCTGTGAATGTATTACTGAACCACTTGCATGCAAAGCGAATTGGTCAAAAACCCTGTGTGCGAGTCACCTTTTGCAGCAGTTGGGAGAGGAAGGACTCTTGCTCGGCGTTGGTGACAACGGAATTGACTTGGTCTGACACGTTCTTGAGGTTAGCCTTTGGAGGAAATTAAGCGGAGGGCATGAACAAGTAGTAAGTTTACCCGCGTTCGTAACAGAGTGCGAAAATTTCAACTTGTGAGGTGTTCTGCGTGCACTATGCCCTTGAAGAGCTCAGGGATTCATCCGAAAAGACGCGAGGAAAACCTAATAGTGAAACAGCATTTAACATAGCTTCCTGCAGGAGACACGCAGGGCCATTCTTTCTGACAACCTATCACAACCATGGGTGGGTGTACTTCGTTATAATCAAGACGTCACCTTCATCATTTGTTCAAAGGTCACTGATCCTTGCCCTCGGATATCCATGCCCAAAACGCCATCGAGTTCCTCCCAGTGTCTGTCCATCAATGTTCCGCTGCGGAGGTCAGCCACCACTGGAACCGTGAGCTTTACCTCGTCGACCATATGCTTGAGTCGTCCAACAGCAGGGTTAGTAGGGAGCTGCTTTTCGGAGAGCTGCACTATCCGCCAGAATCTGTAGATGCCGATAGATAATATAGAGCAGAGGAGGGGCGGCGGAGATATGACCTTTAATACCACATCATCATCGTGTTCGAGCTCGACTTGATATCCTGTTGTGTGGTCGTGCACATGAATACCTGCACCTCGACTTCAACGGATGGCGGCAGAGCGTATCGCATATGAGAATGAGGCCCTAGTGCACTCGCACGGAGCCAAAATACTTCAGGCGATGTTGTGTGCGATCCATGTCAATCAAAGCCGAACACAAAGGTGCTTTGAACTCTCCTGGAACGGGTGCGTTCATCGCGTGCTGCATACCTGACAATTTCTGTTTCCATTGCCTCGATATCAAGAGCTTCGAAGGAAGTGTTTCCCCAACTCTCTAGACACTCTTCAAAGGTTTGGATGCCCCGCCACAGACGTGTCTTTTGACTCATTTCCGACTCGATTTCTTCCAGCTCGTCCCGATCGAAGGACCCGGTCTGCAAAATGGTCTGTTTGGTAGCGCCGGTCAACGAACACAGAGAGAGAGAGAGAGAGAGAGAGAGAGAGGTGTCACCGACTTCGTGCACGAAACCGGTTGGAGTGGTATATTTCAGCATTCAGCAGTGCAGGGTAGGTCTCAAAATAACGGGATATGGTGTGCCCACACTCGATTATTTTCGGGAGCGACGTACGCCGACTTGAGGAAAGACTGTCTAAAACTAAGCGTTACCCTCCGGGCTTGGCAAAAAATCGATGCCATCGTATGGTACTTGCCTGCCAACTGATGAGGCAATCTGCCAGTGTGTAGAGGCTTGCCAGAGTCTTTTCGCACGTGACGAGGTACTCGACAACTTCTGTCACCTCTGCTGCTGGATTCTGTATCATGCCATGCCCAAGATCCATCCTCAGGGCCTGAAAACACGCACAGAACCTTGTCAGATGCGCGAAGCATGCGTCGTGCACAAAACTCAGCACGTTTCGTAGTGCTTGACACGACCTTGCGTGGGCAAGTCGGGCTTCCCCAGCGTGTTGCATGCCTGCCGCCGTTTCGCTGCCTGGGCCGGGATGCATCGTCATCCAGTGCTAGATGATCTACCCACACACAGCAAACCTGTATTCTTGGAGTCAGACTTGCTGCTTGCTTGGCTAGCTCCGAGCTGAACTTCTGGTGTTCTTGGTCATAAAGGCTTTCCACCATCTCGATTTTTGCATGGAGCTGTTTTCGTAGCTGCCGGAGAGCAACGACATGTAGGACATCACGTGGACCTCTGAGGCGGGAAAATTCACACATCGATATCTTTGAGCAGCGAATCGTCGCCGGTTCAACGCTGTAAAACAAACTTGGTCGCACTTTGTACTCTACTTTTGACCAGCAAGAATGACGTGCTTCCAGCAGAAATAGTTTCTGGGTTTAGCGTTTTCATCGTGACTTTAGCAAATCATGTTTCCGGGCGGCATTGACCGTTACCTTGACGATCATGTTCGCTGCTGTTCGAGTATCGTCAGTGATGGTGACGCCGTTCCCTTCCATAACCTCGTACAAGGACGCAAGAAATGTATATCTCTCTTGCATTTCTCCGGCTCGTTCTTTCGCGCCCCTGGTATGAACGAAAAGCTTTGTCAGTACTTGTTGGCGAGGTACGACACGTGTCTTCAAACAAAATGTTACGCACAAGCGCAACACGGTGGACTTCCTCAGCTCACTTTGGTAAGTAGGAGCAACGGCGCAGCCCTCAATAGAAAAAAAAGTGGATGTGTTGGCATCTCGGAGCCGCGCAAGTGCTAAAAAGATCTTCGCAAATATTTGGCGGGCGCAGTACTCGCACTACAAGCGTGCAAGAGCAATTCAACTCCGTTTACAGTGTAGTCCCGGTTAAGAGGTTCAAATTTTCAACACTAGAAAACGACCGGTTTTCAGAGCATCCTGTAGGTGTAGCGGCCACTGGAGGTCTCTCAACGGCGGTTCGGGGAGTTTTAAACGTGGTTGATTTTCCCGTAATTTCTACTTCCAAAAATTGGAAGTGACCAGTAGCTTCCAAATCATTGGAAAGTCTACGGTTTTTTTGGCCTCCGAACTCGCTTCGCAAAGTTCTCTACTTTGGAAACATTCCAAAACTTTTGAAAAAAGCGCTTTTGTTTAACATGCCCTTACTAAATACTTTGCCAGGGTAAAAGGCCCATGCTTGTGGCAGAGGGCAGTTTTGCAGAGAACGTTTTGATAGGCCAGGAGTGTTTCTTATTGCAGCGGCAACAAGAGCGCAGACAAAAACGTACGCTAGATCTAAAGCATAGGAGCACAGGAGTACAGCGCATCCCTGCACGAATATCAAAAACAAACGTGTTTTTCTGCCCGCCGGGCTCCTTTAGACACTGCTCAGCAGTGCGCAAATGCCGTTTGCGTCTTACTGCGGAACTCACGATCATGATTAAGATATGTCATATTCCAGAATCACAAAGATCAACAAGACGGGGGCGGTAAAATAGATGCCAACGAGATTTCGGGCGTGCGAGGTCCTAGGGTTGTTTTTCTGGTACTGCGTTCAGTGAATGAACATCGTTCACCGATGCCAATCCTCGTACAAACGAAACCCGTTCTCATTTGCTCATGGTACAAATGTTCGAGAAAAAGACCACCGCTTACGATCGACAAGTTCCTCAACTAAGTGAGTCAAGGACAACCACATGTGCAAAACAGCGTAGACGTCGAAAGCTAGGCTCATCGCTCAAACTCGCAAGTTCAGTCATTAAAAATAAAACAGTACACTACCGGTGGAGGAGTACACAACAATATCATCGCCACCAACAACGACAAACTCCCTAGAATAGAGGTTATCTTCCTACCCCTACTGTACGAAGGCAGGAGTATTCGTTGTCGGATACTCTCACCAGCCAGGCCAACCCCCCTCCTGCGCTTTCTCGGGGGGTGAGGAGGGCCTTCCAAACGAAACAAAAACGCAACGACTCATGACAGCCAAGACGACACTGTTGTAGGCACGACCTGGTTCAGAGATTTTACCACCGCCAAACCGGGATGAGGGGGTGTCACGCGACAATGTATCCACTGCAAGGGCACCCAGTCTAAACATACAACCGCGAAACCAGGACTCTCACTGGATATGCTCAAGTGGATGATCATATCGAGCAATTCTCTCCCTTTCGGCGGGTCCAACTGCTATCGCCAAAGAGGGTGAGCGTTACTCTTCCACCAATTGAAGAGGCCAGTATCACATGCTCATACTTTGCTCACCTGTATTGTAAAATGAGATTGGCGAAATCTTCCACGCTCCTGGATTTCTTGCTCATGGCATCCAGCGATTGGCTCAGCTCATTCAGAAGGAGTTCGTGGTTGTTTTTGTACAGCTGCGGTACAACTCGATGCACAATGTCCAGGCACCTGAGTGGGTGCAAGTATCATCGAGCCATCACTTGTCTCCCGGAGCAGCTTCAAGTGAAGGTGACACTTTGAACATACTCCTCATCGGACGAGAGCTACCAGGACAACACAATGCCGTGATATCACCAAAACAGCGCACTTCGTGACATCGCCAACAGGGCAACGACGATGAGCAGGAAATACCTTTCGGGGCTAGGACGAAGCATCGCTTCGAGCTTCGCACTTCCGACGCGGATAAGGCCAACATCCTGCCAAGTCTTGATACGCTTAAACCGTGTCGTCTGGTCGTCGTAGTTGAAAAGCAGGGTCTTCAGCTGCTCGACATTTGCATTGGCATAGTAGCTGCGACATCGAATAAATCATATCAAACAGACGTACAATGGCAACCAAGGAACATGCGGAGACATCGGTTTTAACAATCAAGAGGAGCTGTTGCGTCGCATGAATCCAAAGACGACACAAGGTCATTGATGTTACGACGCTTCGACCGGCAAAGCAGCGGAAGAAACTGAAAGTTGTATTTGCAAAACGCGACACGACTAGGTAACACGCGACTTAGACCTCGTGCATAGAGAATATCAACAGTGCCTGTCATACCTGACAGAAACTTCTCGAGCAAATTTTGCGTTCTCCAAGTAGCAATGTGTGAGTGGGTCGAAGGAGGAGGTATATGTATCGGTGCGCCTGAAGGAATGGGCGATATTCCGATGGATGCCATCCAGCATATCTTGGAAGTCAGAGTCCTGAAACAAGTGAAAGCGAGAGATACCCAATGGTCAGTCCCAAACACAAACACCTTACATGGTCCATACACAAACGGTGAAACGTCATGCCATACAACAAAAGTGCACACAGCAAGCACGACGAGACGTGTAGTTTTTCATTCTCGCGTTCACAAACCTCCATAATCACGGCCTCCAGATCTTGTCCCTCACCAAACGTCCCACGCTCATCCACAATGGGGCTCACGAACGCTTTGAAGCTGGGTTCGCTCAAAAGGCGGCGGGGGGTTGCCACGACAGTTAACCCGTCGAACAGCATTACCTACGGGGGTCAGGGCGACATGCACCTGGTTTCAGCAAACAGCTTGTATCATTTCGACAGGTTGGCCGGCTGCCAGAAACAGTCGCGCACGCCGACATACCTCTTCTGACTTTTTCGGTGATACGGCCAACGTTTTGATGCCTCCGAGGTTTGTGCAAGCACTCATATTGCTTTGGAACGTCCGCATTCTACTCTGACGTTCGCTCTTCGACGATGGGCATACCTCCAGACGTTTATGGAACTCGTTCTCGGAAGGGTGGCATACGATGAGATCGGATGGATCCGCGCACGCGCTCTTCTTCGACGAAGTTGCCATTTCCTCCATGCCTTCAGCGTATGCTAATTCGACAACAAACAGAGGTAGTCGTGTGCTTCTCGACACTCCGGTACTACGAGACGAGGCCGATTCCTGAAACGTTCCAAATATCGTTGTGGCGTGTGGGATTATTCAGCAACAAGTTCCGTTTCTCGCACTCTCTCTTACGCGAACCAATGCTCTGTCCCTGCAAGAAAAAGGAGACACTGTTTGACGTCGAGTTTGTGTGCCCATTGATGCAAAGCAACTTTCGAAACAACCACTATTGATGTAGTTTGGCTAGAAAGGTGACGCAAGTGTGCACCTTGAACACGTTTCATAGGAAGTTAGCTCTGAACACGTCCGCGACAGGGAAAGGAGCCTTATTTCTATGGAAAAAAGTGGAATTACTCCATGCTCCATGTTGATAACTGCAAGATACGTGTATTTCGCACGGATCCGCGCTCAGTAGTCAGAACCGCTTACTCGAAGCCTTTGGGAGGACTGGTTGCTTTCTTCCTTTAGCGATTGGAGGTCCATCACTTCCGTGTCCGATGTCGAGTCCGCAGCACGCTTGAGAATAAAGCACCACACGAGGAGGGTATTTCAAGAACAACGCTACGTCAGCGCTAGCCGGCAAAGAAGGGGATCACACAACGCTGGAGCAGTCAAAGGTCGTTTCGTGACCTGGTTGGTGACTGAGTTTACCTGAAGCAGTTATTGGGGTTTCTTCGGTCCATTGACTATTATGTGTCACCCTACGAGGATCGTTAGGAATGAAGCTTTCAGGAAGACCTTCTCCTGTCAAGAGTAGGCCACAAGATTTTTCGTCAAACGAACCTGCATCTCCAGCAGAAGGTCTCTTGTTGATTCCAACGCCACGTCAAGGTAGGTATCCGCAACGAGGAAGTCGGCCACCTGTGTGAAACCATGACGACGGTCGTTTTCGTTGCTTGCGCGCCAATCGCGTATCCCGAGACGACGATCAGTTTCTGCTGAGCTACCAGGTGACAGCCCAGTTTCGGGAGGTATATACACCACCCACGTTTCTACGTGAAGTGATGGAGATTCCTTCGCCCAGATTAGTTGGCTTACTCTCTAGACCAGACATCGAGGGCCAACATTTGATTCTCGTCCTGTCGATGCCCTTGTCAGTCTACCCTAAGAAACGGTGAGGGTACTCTTTGCTCACAACCCTGAACTTCCCTGCATACCTATAGTATCCGCCGATGAGGTAAACGGCATCTAAGACGAACGTGGGACTGACGAGCTCGTCGCACCTTCATGAATTTCGCCAGCTTCCGACATTGGGTCCTCATGGCAGCACGTTCAGTGAACGATATTTCGGACGGGTTAACTTCCTCCATTGTTTTCATCAACAGCTCGCGTGCTTCTTCTGGTGTAGATGCCTGAAAAAGAACGAGGATCTCGTGTGACAAAGGATAGCATGCTGTATTGAGCGTATTGGCCGCGAAATCAACACAGCACCACGTTTCCCCCTGTGCATTGAGGAAGTGTTCCCTGCGTCTTACCTTGACGTTAAATCCAGCCCTATGCAAAAAATTATACAACGTATCCTCGCACGACTTCATGACAGCCTCGCGAACGTTGACCGAGAACTGCTGAAGCACCAAGTCGAGATGGTCACGTTGTGTAGATTGTGCCTTGCAAAAGTTTTCCAGAGTCTGTCGTTGAAGCAAGCATCGGGTTCGTGGACATAACAATCAGAAACAGCACATCGTGGATTCGGCAATGGTGCCTCGGGGGTGGGGGAACACGTCCTGCGGCAAAAATGACAATGAAGGCGTTCCTCACAGAAGGTGCTCGACGTGGAAGTCTAATAGCAGCATATGTAGAGAGGAAGCACGTAGTCGGTCATATGGCGTAGGGTAGAGCAATAGTTTTGAACATCCGGTTACAGCAAGACCTCACATGCGTTCCGAAGTCCACTTTGAACGCACGGTGGGTGCTCAGCTCGTAACACAACTCTTTCAGCCGACGAATGCCTGCACGGACAAGTCGGAGTAGGGTTGGGTCGCAACTGAGATACGTTTTTTTAATTCGCTCAGCAAGAGCTTCGTGGTATTTTGCAAACAACCATGTAGGCATTCCAGTGGGGGCAACTCGGTTGAACAGATGTCGAACCACGAATTGATCCACGATCCTGACTGGTGGAAATATCAGAGTATGTGAATCGTCAAGTGTAGAGCAACCCATGGCTAACTGCGGGACTCTCACCGATTCTTAGCCACGGATGAAGAGAGAATAAATCCTCTTCCAGCACAGCGCGGCACTTGGCCCGTTTTCGAATATGCACGAAACTCTTCCACTCCGCAAAAGACTTCCATTGACTGTACTGTCTGAAGAATGGTAGGGCTGCTATCCGATGGTATTGCCTGGTGAGCAAAGGAAGCAAAACAGTAGCGTTACGTTCTTCAATGCCTTAAGCCCGAGCATGTAAACCGCAGCGAAAAGGCGAGAAGGTCGCGGGGAAAATCATCAGTGCCGACACCATGTTCTGGGCATCGAACAAGCCCATGTCACGGCTACCCATAGTTCGTCATATGCCTCGTTGATGAAAAGAGCGAGATGCAACCCGGGGTATGGTAGACCACGCAGGCGACCATGCAAATAGGATACGACGAGCGGTAACGCAATACTACCCTGTTTGAAATCCTCCAGCGTTTTGGTGCCCAAGTTTAGCATGCTGAGCAGCTCACATATACTGGCGCTCGAACTGCTCCACCGTGACGAACTCAGTACGATCTCTGGTTGAACACACCAGACCGTTCATACTCAGAGTGTAGAATTTGTCCGAAGAAGGCTCCATCGAGTCCACAATGGTCAACTTGTACGGATTTTCAGCATCCGCCTGCTTTTAATAATTTTGATCGGAACGTCACGCGGCAAGATAGACACATGGCCGTCTCTTGTTAGCTTATTAGTCAACACCTCACCCTAACGAAACGTTAATGGCTCTTCTTGCAAAACACGCGGACTCATGCTGACCATTTTGGCCTTCGAGTAGTGCGACGACCCGGTTGGCCATATGCAACTGAAGGATCACGTCCACGCCAGATCAATGCCAACTCAAGCCCTTGCCTGCTACAAGCCTCACCTTGAGGTACAGAAACACGTTGGGATTGCGAAACGGGTCCTTCCACAAGGGGCTGGTCTCCAGGCTCTTGATGAAACCGCCATATGGAACAGCATGTGTTCTAGCCGCTGCTCAAAGGTGGTGCACGTTCGACAGGACAAATGAGAACCTGAGCCCAATATATGATTGGAACACCGTATTTTGAGCGAGGTAGCGACCCAACAACGATGATTGGTTGCACATACAAAAATGCTGTGCTCTTCCATTTGACAGGCAGTGTGAGAGTTATTCCTCACAGCATGACATGGTGTGGTAACTTCCAACGGTTCACCAATCAGCGGCTAACGAGTCATTTCTCAAAGCACATTTTCAGTTGTCACTGGCGGCATTCTCGGTGAAGGAAGTCTCACCCGAGGCATCTCTTTGCAAACGACCTCTCGATGCCATGCTTGTGGTATCGGTTCTCCCGCCGTGTGCGGCTCCTGCTGCGTTCACGTCGCCCTTTACCCTGATGTACAGTCGACATTCAGAGCAATAGCACAACCGCTACCATTCATCGTCCGGAAACAGGCGGTACACAATCAGCAAAATCGCCGCTACGGCCTATGAACAGTATTTGAGGGCAACCGCAAGAGGCTCACGCATCATATGTACATGTAGCATTTCGATGTTTTTTTTGCTTCGGTACAATTTTCTCTGGCCGCAGCGAATCTTTTATCACTCTTCCTTCTCAGGGGCACGCACGGGGTACGTCGGTACATTCCCGCGCATGCCCATGGACCGCCAGTCATCCATGGCACGTGTAATCGACACCTAACGTCGCCGCGACTGGCTCTTAAATTGCGGAGTGGTATTCCTAACCAAAACAGCTTTCGTAGGAAATACAATGATATTTCTTTGCACTCAAACAGGAAAACTTTGTACTCCTACGCAATTATGTACACACGTTCACACACACCATGAGCTACACGATGATACAAAAGCACAAGAGGGAGAGTTCAAAAGCAGCGGGTTACAGCTGTAGGATCTGCGGCAAAGACGCCGCTAGCCTACGTCAAGCACACATTCATCACACACGCTAAGAGTGAGAACAAAAACTTACCCCGTAAGATGATGCACTATATTTTCTGCAGTTTGCGTGGAAACGGCGGCACTACCGAAGGTTTAGATAAGACGATACAACGGCGGTGATAACATTGGTCATGTCCTCTTGCATCGCTCCCGGGAGGAAAGTCGCCAAACTCCCGTAGGGGAGCCTTGTATCAGTATCGTTTGGGCAGTTAAGACTGTTCGACCGTCACTGTTGTGCCACTGATCAGCCAAATAACGAAGAGCAAAACGCTTGTTCGAAACAAAACAGCACCAGTAGCTACATCACCAAAGAGATTCGACGTCTGTCCATAACCCCGTCAAGTATCACCGCAAGTACCTTTTGTCCTTCACTGCCACTTCCATATCCAATCGCCCAGGGTGCTGTGGCTTGTCGCGTCTTTTTAACCCGGCCACAAGGCTACTCCGGGCGGCACCACCAGCTGGTCTTCCAGCTGCGCTTTCCGCTTGAAATTGTCCCTTTTGCAACACCAAAGGTATCCAATGGTTCAGGAAGTGTATTCGGTAGTCGAAGCAGAGAGATAGGCCGTAAGGAATCACGATGAAATGTGCGATGAACTTCGTATTTTTTGCCGGGAGATATACCGTCATGTGTGCGGGATGTTCCTCCGACTGGTCCGTGCTGTATCAATGATACGTATACTCTCGAACACAACTCACTAGCGAGGTGAGCCTTGACTGTGACTGATGTAGGGTGCTTGGGTCTCCACCAGCAGCCTGGGTTGTCAGCCGCACGAAAAATAAACGGGTAGCCTGGACGTTAGCAGGCCACAGCCGACATCACGCTTGCGTGTGAAATGCACACAGTAGCGCGGTTGGCCATATCTAGAGCTCATCTGCCACAGTGGAGTATGCAAGCCTATCCTCACGAATACCTTTGGTGTTCTGCACCTCGTTTCTCATGCCGTATAGACTTTCGACCACGTGGACATCGCCGATTGGCCTTTCCAAACGTTGATCAGATACGGCGGGAAAGCTTGTTGTACCCGCATAATTCGAAAATGACCAGTACCGACGCTACTGTTCTTGCCTGAACATCTGCAGACAAATCCCGACTCGCCCTTCTCACTAGCTTCATGCGGGGCGCCATATTTCCTGAAGACATCATGGATCCCGACACCGGCGCAGACGACGGCTCTTCGTGCAGTCTCGTTTGTGCCGAGTAGCCCAGGACGGCGGATGTGCTGGACTTCCCTGCCTTGACGTGTCCTTTTCGCGGGCTGGAGAAGGAACATGACAGAGCAACGTGTGAGGGTGCACATCTACAGCGCGTTTGGCGCGTCCTGTATGTCCGCAGCGCGCACTCCCGGAGATATATTCAAGTACCGTAGGCGCAAAAAATACAAGTGCATACAAACACACGGTTGCAGTACACGCCGCAAAACTTTCCAAGCACACGGTAGTCTCGTATGTTTGCAGGTCCCACTTACAGTGCCTGAAGTGCCGAGGACGGCACTTGAAATGATGTGTGAACTGTAGAGGCCGAGGCATACAACCGGGTGCTGAGATCACGGTGCGACGAGGCCAAGTCTGGTGCACTCGGCCTTGGCGGCGATGTTGGCGGAGACGGAACGATCTGCCGACGACCGTAACCCACGGGACAAATTACGGTCGACGGGCGCTATGCTTTAGCGGCAGCAACGATGTCCTCAGAACCATGGTTGCATCGCTATTTGGGAATTGCGCAACTGAAAGTACTTAACCGTGGGATTGGGAAGGTTCCGAAACGTAGGCAACTATATACTGCAGTCGTGTCGGTTCCTTTCAAACACAGACATGTCCATGTGTCCATCCACGCTCATCAATAGGAGACTATGTAACTTTCACGCGGTGTTATCGCCCTTTGCACGGCAGTATCTGATACCGCAATCAGCTTTGAGCTGCACCTTTCCGAGAGCAGGTCGGATTACGGTCACTACTTTGGTATGGGCAAGTGGATCTGGATTCCGTTAAAAGGAAAGCACGCACACACCTCGTGCCAGAACCCTGGGAGGTGTGTGTTGGTGTTGGATGTTTGGGGGCGGGTTATCACATTTCAAACCCACTTGTATGATACATCGAAGCACATGTAATTACCGCGAGTATAGACTTAAAGTGTTCATTCAGGTCGTGCAATCATCGTCACCGTTGTCTTCTACGAGATTGCCAAGAATCAGTTCTACGCAATGACACAGCCAGCAAGGGACCTGTTATGCATACCGGAAGGGTGCGGGGCTTGGGACATGTCGGGATCTTGGCAAGCGGGTGTGGAACTAAAGAACCAATTGATTTAGATACATGCGTTCGATTGTCGCACAGGTATGTATCACGGTCAACCCACAGGGGTGCGACGACCACGGGAAATACGGCATCAGAGCGTGAGGTTGAGTGCTATGACGAGTGGTTTGTTGGGGGTGATGGGCTCCATTCTGTAGTAATGGTACCGTTGGCGATATGTACGAGTGGTGGAAATGGAAATGAAGGCAGAATATTCCGCCCGCCAATAAACCTACCGTTTGCAGACGGAAACGCAAGAGAGGGAAACGCAAGCAGCAACCAAGGATAAGGCCGCCAAGCAAAATATAACTCTCGTAGGAAACCATGTCATCCCTTGTTCGCGGCACGTAACCAAACTCCACTACAGTACAACGTAGCTGGTCTGGCTGGAGGCTACTGTACATACCCGGTACTGGGACTATTACAGCGGACATTTGTTTCTCCTGCCCAAAGCACGCTCTTACCTCATGGAATCCCAGTTGATCGACACTCTCTTGAATACCTAGCTCACGCATTGCAGCTACTTCTTGCTGTCCTGTGACGATTGCGTGGACATGGATATGCCGCATACACCGCAGCAGCACATGTAACGACAATCACGCCGCGCTGTGTATCTACGGGAGGCGGAGATGCAGGTATGCATACACTGCTGTGCGATCTACTATACCATCTGCGTGCGCCCCGGTCTAGCATGCAGCTGGCTCTCCTGCCGTTGTTGACGCTCGCTCATCCTCCTAACTCTCGCTCTCCTTTCCTGTTTCTCACGAAACGCACGCTCCTCAACTACCCATATTGAAGAGCTGTTGTGAAGTGTCGTCAGTTGGTGAAGGCCTGGTTGGCTGGGCTGCGGCTATCACATAACAGGAAACTACTGCTGTAGCATGAAGTTCAACGGAGCTGCAGCGCTTGCGGCTGTGGTAGGGTTGTGCTCCGTTCATGCGTTTAATGTGAGTGTCTCCAAGGACTCCCTTCCTTAATAGCTGCAAAGTATATTTGCTGCCCTGACTAGTGTTGTGTTGGATGGTTACTCTCACTCAAATGGTGCAGTCCAGGTGGGCATCTCTCGTTTGGCAAAAGTTTGTATGCACGCCTCCCCCGCCCTCTCTCGCTCCTGCTTCGCTTTTGTATTCTGTCCTTGACAATCTCACACTGACAGGAAGGAGCAGGATCGAACACATCTTCCCGTGTCGACGTTGTGTCCCCTCCCTTGTCTTCACCTCACCAATTGCTGGGGATATCCATCCGATACCCCGGTTTTTCCCGCATCCTTACTAAGTCCGACCTACCTTTGGCCACAGCTTGAAAACAGAAAACAGCAGTTTGTTTCATGCAACAACGCACACGAAGTGACGACGGACGGTAGGCAATTTTGTACATATGCGGTAGGTTTGAGTACATACATCAGCCGCCAGTACCAGTGCGTCGAAGTATATTCGAACAAGGGTTCATCCTTTGGGTTGAGATATATGTTATTTACCACAAAATGTAGTTTAGAGGTCAGTTCACCATATCTTCTGCTATTAGTTGCAACAATACCGTATAGGTTGCATGAGATACCACACCCCCTTGCACCAACGTTGGGTCATATTTAGAAAATAAAAAATACTCATATTTGTAGCCAGGCCCAGTGCTCTAGTGCTGCACAACGAAGCGAATCCCAATAATCTAATGACACGTAACGGAGGGCTCTCCACGCTAAGGTTTTAACTCCGCCATTATTGGCGCCGGACTCTCTGAAGAGTGCAACTAATCGAGCTTTGAAAGTCGATCCAACGGGTTATGTTTGGTGTATTCTGCAACCTATTCTACGGTGTTTACTTTTTTGGAAAGTTGGGCGCGACGCGTAAGCCCACTACAACAGTCCCCACCAGGTCTTGTCCACATTTTACTGCTGTGAAGACTTCAACACATGCTTCGATTGGGATTGGGATATTGTCTGGAACGGGTATGCACACTATTTTCTGTGATTGATTTGTCCAATAACGTAGCAATGTAGCATACCTGGAGCTATTCAGTGTATGGCCTTATCTTCACCGTTGTTTCGGGCATTTTTTTGTCTCTCTGAGGGGGGGGTGTCTGCAAGGGAGAAATAATTCAGATCCGAGCGACCTTCTTACGGTTCCTCGAGGCACATTTTTTTGCCGGCGGAAAAGAAGGCCGATTCACGTTTTTATGGGTCACAACATGCTTCAGTTCACGGTTTCGGCTCGTGTGCGACCACGAAGACAGAGCACCCTGTTTTTGGGACGCGGGGTACATGTATGTGTTGACCACACCCCATTGGCTGCAGTTTGTGGATGTCGTCGGCCCTAAGCCTCTCTCTCTCTCTCTGGCGTGCATTTTTGGCTGGTGACACATGCAGCAGGCACAAAATCGGCTCTTTTCGACCGAAAGGCAAGAACATCAGCAGAGCAATGTGGCAGAGGGTTGACGTTTTAGGCTCGTGTGCGGCCAACTGGACGCAGAACGCCGTGATTATTTTATGCCTGCAAACGGTTTGTTCTTGACGTCACGATACTGGCCTGTTTTGCCAGCAGACGTTGTAGTTGTTCGCACACGAGCCGAAACCGTGAACTGAAGCATGTTGTGACCCACAGGGTTCAACAAGAGGGTTTGAGTGTAGAGCAACAACTACTTTTTTAGGTGCGTGTTCTACCTATGACCATGATATTTTCTCAAAGTTTGGCCGCACGTCCTACTTGTACGCTGTTCACCACTCTTGCAGATTGGAACCCCTCTCGGGATGCCGTCGCGACAAGCAAGCACGGGGCGTGCCCGATCGGTGTCTATGTTGGACAAGCCAAACACCCCAGCTGCTGCGGCTGCACCGATGTGAGCGAAGGAATTTTTTTTTTGCCTAATATACCAATAGATTGCCGTGTGCCCACGGCTGCTTCCCCATTTTTTTGCTGAATGAAGTTCTCGTAGTCGATTCGAGAACAACGCCGGCACTGCATACAGGAGTAACAACAGCAGTAGTTGCTGCAGTATTAGTAGAGTGTGGTATAATGAAAAAGAAACCATTCATTCATTCATCTACCACGTCGAAAGGACGAGGTAAGGACATATTGCGGGAAGCCCGAAGCCCGCGAATAAAACCTGGAAAAAGGAATGCACGCACGCAAGCGTGGTGCGAAAAAAAAACAGATAAATATCTCGAACCAACCGCAAAAATACGACAAAAAGAAAAATAGGCAAATGGAAAAACCGAGTTGCATGAAAAGAACCCCTAAAAATCAGAATCAATCGTAAAGGAAGACGATAACAACAGGGAAACGTACATACTACAAAGGAATGAGACCACGCCGTAAAGAAGGGGAGGCAGCTATATAAGACGGCTGGTAAACAAACCGGGAAAAAAGCGCGCACGCACGGACGCACGCGTGGCGCGGAGTGTAAAAAAACCCTAGCAATATCCGAACCGATAATAAGAAAGGCCGTGTGGCGTGGCATAGGGGGTGCTAAAAAACAATACACCAGCAAAAAATATCCTACTACAATTGTAGTCGAAATGCAAAAAAAAGCAACAGATGAGTCGGCGACGTGTGGAGCTTCTTGCTCTCCCGTTTCTGTATGGTGGCGGGCTGGCACGACTGCAGGTTGTCCGTGCGGTGGAGCAGGAAGCACAGGGTGGTTTTCTCGTCCTTACTACTTTCGGCGCTGAAGAAGTTGCGGGTTCCTTCCTTGTCGTTCCTGCCACAAATTGTCCTGACTTTCTTCTTAGGGGGCATTGCAAGGGAAAGAGACACGGTCGACGCGGCACACCATAATATGTCGTGATATGGATGTGCTGGGCGGTGACATACAAACACGATCGTGCGTAATTTGCGTAACGCTTTCTTTGTTCGCGTGCCCCCTCACATGTTGGTTGGGGTTGTTTCGCTCCTTGCTGACACCAGCGTGTCGACACCCCAGTGCTTTTTATTAAATTCTTTTCTTTTTAGTGTCAGTCAGTGTGTGAGCACACAGCAGTGTGGGAGCACACAGCACACACAGCTGTACATTAGTGTGCAATGTTACACCCCAAAGCACAGCACATAACAGTGGACACAGTGGACACACGCAGCAGTAGTGTGGAATGTTGTGTCTGGGGCCGGTGCTGCTGTTGTTTTGTCCGAAAAGAGGAAAAACGCGAGAAATGACGCTTTTGTGCATGTTGGCCCAGAACAGGTGAGTTTAGAACGCGTGACACACATGAAGGCCGTTGTTGGTGTTTCGCTCCTTGCTGACACCAGCGTGTCGACACCCCAGTGTGTGGCAGCACACAGCAGTCAGTGTGTGAGCACACAGCAGTGTGTGAGCACACAGCACACACAGCTGTCCATTAGTGTGCAATGTTGTTTGTTGTCTGGTGGCGGAGGCGCTGGGGTCGCTGCCATCATCGCGACAAGCTTTCATCCAGACCCACGCCTGCATACAGCAGTACTGCTGTGTTTGTTGCAGCGAGATTGCACGCTACATGGTGGGAGACAGCAGTCAGTGTAGGACGCACGACATCTTGTGGGAGCACATAGCAGTGGACACACGCAGCAGTAGTGGTGAATGTTGTGTCTGGGGCCGGTGCTGCTGTAGTTTTGTCCGAAAAGATTGTGCATGTTGGCGCAGACCAAACGGTGAGTTTAGAACGCGTGACACACATGAAGGCCGTTGTTGGTGTTGTTTCGCTCCTTGCTGACACCAGCGTGTCGACACCCCAGTGTGTGGCAGCACACAGCGGTCAGTGTGTGAGCACACAGCAGTGTGGGAGCACACAGCACACACAGCTGTACAGTAGTGTGCAATGTTGTTTGTTGTCTGGTGGCGGAGGCGCTGGGGTCGCTGCCATCATCGCGACAAGCTTTCATCCAGACCCACGCCTGCATACAGCAGTACTGCTGTGTTGCAGCGAGAGTGTGACATTTCTGACTTGATTTAACTATCGGATGTGATCACAAGCTTTCACTTGTTAAATGCGTCGGTCTCGATCACACGTTTCACTTGAATACAGTATGGATCTCGATCAGTTTTTCGACTTGATTAAGTATGGAGATTTGTCAGTTTTTAAGCTCGATTGAAGTATCGAAATTTCGGACAGGATTTCTTTACTGCTTTTTTCGGGATTGCGCTGGCTGAAACCCCAATTTGCAATTGGGGATATCCATGTCTATCCATAGAAAAGGGTCTAGGATAAATTGGTATTGAATTCTAGCGTTGGGGGGGTGCTACCTGTGCTACTACGATTCCCTAAGCAGTCGAAGTACATGACAGGTGACGACCTTGCATCGTCCGAGCCCAGACAATCGTTGTATTATTTCTGCCAGACACGCTCGTGTCAGAATTTATTTCTTGACTTCACGATCACTAACTGCGCGCTAATTCGCAAAGAATACTGCTCGATATATTGTATTGCGCTTGTTTTATTTTCACACCTTCAACGCTCACAAAACCTTCTTTTTTTGGTCCTTGACGTTCACTTTGTATGTTTTCGTGGGTATCAGTACCCACAAACCGTGCAACACACCTACAACATTTGGTCTCCCAGGTGTCACTTCTATTGCTGCGTCCACTCGTCCAGAGCCTTGCAGGTACGGCGGGCTCTCTATCATGCTGTTCCACGACAGTGTTGTGTCCTAACGAGGAATGACGTGCCCTTCCGCACAATGCCGTTTCCGCCCGTCGCCACACAGAAAAAAGAAGCGATCAATCACCGTTCAGTTCGTGCAAGAGACCCCCGCTGGCTACATTAGTGTTGTGGATGTCAAGAACTTCAAGGCGACCACAAACCACCGGATAGTGGTAAGCCTGCGACCGAATGCGATGGGGGTTATCATTACCCATAGGGTACTGACTGAAACCAGAGAGGTATCGACCGGTCTACATGCCTGTGTTGCAGTTGAGAGCGTTACTCGTGATCATCGACACCCGAAGCGTGAGCGTTCAATCTGACGGGCACGTAAAGAACCAGAGTGTTGAAGGATTGTTCCACCGCCCGTCTTCTTTTTTTTTACAGATGTCCAAGGAACAGCTGGCGCAGTATTCGGAGCTTGCAGGAAAGAAGGTCGAAGTTGGGGACTTGATGGGGTACGTCATGAAGTACATGTTGGACAAGGGGATCAAGCTGGACAACACCGAGGGAATGATCGAGGCCTCCGTGTTTCCTGTAAATTACTTCACCCTCAAGCAGGTGCGAGCAGTTGATCGCTCGGCAGGGGTTTCCAAATGTGTGCACGACTATTTGTCACTCGGAGCGAAAGTAGAAAGCGGTCCGTGGACACCGCGAGGGATGGGTCGAAGGACATGCCTAGATGAGGGTCTGTCAGTGGCGAGAAGAATACCTCGTTGTCTCGGTTGTCGCATGTGTTACCTGGACTTGACGAAGAAAACATAGACAAAGCACCACAATCTTGCGTTTACTGGCAGACTTGTTGTACATCTCAAGCGTGCACCCGTGCCACGAATATGTCTATTTCATCAGCATCGCTGGTAGGACCCTGCAGGCGGTGTGTTGAGGGTATGATTGTTACGGTTCTCTTTGACACTAGGTTACAGCAACATGGTGATCAACGCACCCCTTTTCCGTCGTGACCCACCCGCCACCGCGTTGCCGTTACCTCTGCAGCTGAGTTACTTCCACGACGACGTGGAAGAGAAGATCGTGGCGCTGTGCAAAGAGGCTCCCGACTTGTCGGAGTTGTAAACCCTCATGAGCCGTACCAGAGGAGGCAGCCATATCGCGGTCTCGCCGTGGTTGCTCAGGGTTGACTCAGTAGATAAAAGACGCAAGACCCAAGTTTTGTTGCTCTGCGTCTGGCGTGTTTTTTATGCGTTGGGAAGATCTGTGTGGACGAAAACATGTCGACATTCCAGAGGCTTCCCAATTCGCCCAGAGCAGTGATTCGACCAAATATGACCATGAACTGCACACGGGTCTAAGGTTGTGGAATCGGGCGATTGGCAACTGGTAGGTTTTGGTACGCCTGTGTCGAACATGGGGAGATTTGATGAACTTCGTTTGCACCACAGGGATATTTGATGGACTCGGTTATACCGAACTACCTGCAACCCGAGCTGATGCTTTCGGGCCAGATATGTCGTACCGTACAAGTTTTACATATCTCGGGTAGACAGCAATTCACCATCCCACCATTTGCACACAACTCTGGACACATTTTCACGAATCCAGAAAATATCGTCCGGTATCCGCCATACACGCTAGCGTTCAGCCAGTTTCGCATATTGCACATCTGTTCCATTGTGGCCACAACAGCTTCACTGAATGGAACACGAGGAGCCATTCTCTGACCGATTCCCTCGTGCAGCATCGGCTGGGCGTCCCCTGAGATTGGGGCAAAGATAAACGAGATGGGCCAACATGAGGTCGGCTCTGTGGTTGACATGCGAAGTGTTGGTTCTGTGGTTGACATGCGAAGTGTTGGTTGCTGTCGGATAAAGGGTGCAACATGTTCGACTACGGAAGAAACACGATGCTGTACCACGCATTTGTCATCAGGTTGTATTACAGAGAAGATATCGAGGAAAGCCTGGCCATATTCGACACATGCGGCCACGTTTAACGTGAAGACTGAACCGTTGCCGGCGATGATGGTAGTCCTGATGATCTTGCCTGCCTATGTTCACACCAACACAGTAAATTCTACAAACCTGTCTCGTTCTTCTCTCGATGGCGCTCCTTCCCCTCCCACCGCAACAGTTTGAGCAGGATTGCGCCCTCCTAGTCGTTGCTCCAGCAGAATCCGCTCCTCCTGGTGTAACGCCATAGCCACCGCTTCGTCACCCGAAAGGCCTGATTGTTCAGACGATGCTGCTCGAGGGATCGGCCGTCCTGACGTACCTTCTTGCTGCAGCGCCAACGCAAGCATGTAGTCTGCGTCGCTGCATGACACAAACAGCCCATTCTCTTGTCAAGCTAAAGAACATTGCTCAGCAAGGAAAACACGAGAACTCGGGCTAAGCAAATCTATATTAAAAAATGCGATGTTGACACGTGAAGCTTCGATTCCAGGACGAGACCTCCCACATCCCTGTACTGGCTACCTCCACATCCGTACAGTTGATCGTTAAACCTCATGTTTTTATCGTTATTTGCCCGAGTTTCCGGACGCGACCATTGCGCGCCACGAACAGAAGCAAAACAGTTGTTTCTTAACCCTTAGGTGACTGGGTTGATTTGACTTTTTTTTTTTCCGGCTCACACAGCAAATCGACCCCACGATAATACTATCTCAAAAAATGGATAAAATCACGGCAAATTATAGAATTCCATACAGTACTAAAGATAGAGAGGGGTTATTGTGCATGCTATCGTGCATGTAGTCCCGAAAACCCTTTCCCTTGAGCACAAATTGCACACAGCACACGAACCTCCTTCACCCCCAATATTCTGGACCACACACACCGCAGTCATGACCGCATCAGGCACCGAGGCAGTACGTTAGCATCGGCTCCGGTGTGCGTTATCTCTGCTCTCCATCGCGCAAGTGGGACCCTGGGTTGATCACATGTTGAGGGTGCTGGATGTACCCTCCCGTGGTATTTACCGTTTGGATCTTACAGCAGTAGGCACTAGATTGGATCTGGAAAGAAAGGATATATCTGCCCCACATAAGAGACATGACTGTCGTACAAATGGTAGTACTGCGTGTACCCCTGCGCACATTGCCCATGTGCGTGCTTGTGTGTTGGGCTCCTCTTGGTCTCTCTGCTGGCCTTTACGGCGCAGGTGTTTTTCTCCTTGGCGACGCACGCCAGCGAATTTTCGGCACACAAAGTTATCGTACTGCTATCGTGCATGTAGTCACATAAGGGTTAAAAGCGCAGGGTCAAACTGTAATCTGTACAATGGAGTGTTTGCATTGTGTTAGCAGCCGCTCTGTCCTTACCTTTGTGGATCCCCGCTAGCAAGACTGCAACGAGAGCTTGGGCCGAAATCGCTGTCCGCATATTCGGTGTTTCCGTCGATTTGATCCAGCTTCTCCCATACTACGCTGCATAAGTGCCAACGTCGCGGCCACGAGAACGGTTAGCGAGAGCATTTTTTAGTACATAGTGGCAGAGGGTCGTGACAAGTCAATTAGACTCTCGTAGAGCCGGCCTTCTCTTAAAAACCGGTGAGAGAGAACAATCCCTTAAACTGACCAACGATCAAAGAGAAACTTATTTCAACAACCGTTAAGGACCCACGGAAAAGTCGATGTTGGTGTGATTTCTATTTTAAAACGAACGAAATGAGTCTGCTGATTGGACGATGTGGCCCATTTCAGACCTGGCTGCAGGAGGGAAAACAGCTTCCCCACCTGAGACGTCTCTTGTCTAAATGCAATATGTCCTCTCGAAAATTGATAAATCCTCCTGAGAGAACCAAGACCTCGACGTCCAAGCTCTAGTTTGCCCGGCAAAAAAGAGAACGATGTCGGCAGCTGTGAGCTCTTGCAATGTGCGGATGTTTTGCTCAGGGTTCGGTTCAAGAGAAACTTCTCAACATAAAAAAAAAAACGATATCTACCTCGCACATTTCTACGTATGCATACATCGGTGGTGCTGGCTCAACTGAAGCGGACACTTTGCTACTCACAACAGCTACGTGAATGACACAGTATACGAGAGCATAAAAAAACACACACACAAACGTGCATGCCGAAAGAAAAATAGAGTCATCTGATCTTATCACGGGGTGCATTCTCTCCATTGCCTGTCAGCCTCGATCTTCGGTATTTTCACATGCAAAGGCGCAAACCTTCTCTTACTGATTCTGCTCTTTATTCGGTGGTATATTATGTATACCCATGCAGTGTGAGGCCCTTCCATACCTGTCTGAGTTCCGCTGCTGCTTAGTCTCGGTGCCCAAATGGAGTCATTTGAGCTCAACCGCTTGCTACTACCAAAGTCGATACCCCGATCTCGCGACCACCGCCACCCGTACTGGTACCTGCCAATACGTCATTACTGGGTGGTCTTTTCGTGATCTAAGCGTACTGGCGGACCTCAAATGAATCCTCACCTGCTCTCTCTTGCGTATCCCAAGTCCGTGATGAGAAGGTAGAGTTTACCCTCGTACTTGAACATCGTGGAGAAATGATTATTGCGAAAAAAAACGCACAGCTGGCGCTCGCGAACCTTTGGGCAAATATGTACCACACGAGTTCGTGAACGTTGTTTGTCAGATACGGCACAGGTGCAGCTGAACAGGTTTTCAAATCGAAACAGGTTCAGTGCCGAATACGGAGGTGCGCTCACGACGGTTCTCTCATGATTCAAAACCAACGTCACGGGATGATGGCAATGCATGCCGCAGCAGCATCGTGCGGAGGCCAAAACTTCACTTCAAATCAGCGCTCACAGCACTAGTGCCGTTTACTCCAACCCGTGGTCACACAGAAGGGTCCCTCTCTGCCCTCCCCTCGTGCGGTACGTTGCCTTCGATTTTTAATGAGAGAAGAGTTCAGTACTCTCTTCCCTCTGTGTACACACGAACTAGCGCTATCCACTAGGCCAGGAGCGGGAGCGAGAGAAAAACTCACTTTGCAAGAAAAACTCGCTTACGCCGGGATTCGAACCCCTGACCTGACCTCTAGACGGTTTCGAGGATATTACTAGACCACCGGGGCGACCGGCTATGGACAGGCTTCAAGGCTGCCGGCGGCTTCTGCCACTGCGCGTATTGAAGCGGTTTCAAGATGCAGCTGTTATTACAGCTCTACAACGAAGCGACCAACCAGTTGTCAGACGTTTTCCACGTGGGCATGGTTAATATAATGGTTTCTGTAACGCGAGGAAAGTGTTTTTGCCAGTTGGTTGGATAGCGTGGGAACACTGAAAAAATGATGTATTTCACCCGCAATTACGGCATCACATGGTCCGGGTTAAACAAGTTGGAAATGTGTCGATCACTGACTTTCACGACACAACGACAAAACCAAGATGACAGCGTATCACGTGGAGAACTGGACGCAAAAAATATGACAACAGACATGTTCCGCTTCACGACGAACCGATAGACAACCGTAACTGACTCACGAAGACAGGAACATTATGGTTGACGACTGACGACCATAGGACACGGAATGAGAGAAGAGAAAATGAGAGAGACAACATACATTATGCGAAACTCCTATGCAAGCGCATGACTGCGTACTTCATGTATGCATGCGTGTGCTAACAAATGGGATTCCATGGAGGGCATGACTGCGGGATGTGACCAAGGAATGGCACCGAGCGACTGCTGCATACAACAGCTAGAAGTAGTAGAGAGAGGGGGTGGGGGGGAGGGACACCACGGTGCACGGCCAACTTGTTATTTATTGGGTATGGAGTCGAACGAAAGGGTCTTCTTGCGGGAATCTTGCGCGCGGATGACTGCAGACGATACAAGGCCACTTCGCGGAAACCGCTTTCGGCCGTCGCCGCTGTGCTCGTAGGTTGCATGGCGACGGCAAGAGTGTGCGGGTTGAATTTGTGAAAGGAGAGAAACGAGAGTTAAGTGTTGTTTTGTTGTGAAAAGTTGTTTCTGCTGATGAACATCGACTGCAAGCTACAAATGTGGAAGACGCGTACGGACGGCGGAATCTATCTGGGATAGACATGACAGACAGCGAAAGCTACATATAAAAACCGAAAACCGAAAACGAAGAAGTACACCTCCACACACAATAATCGAGGTACGCGTAGAAAAACGTGTGTGTGCGTGTTCGTCCCATCTATTATAGCGCCGGTATACAGGCCTTTCAGCTTAGAAGTATATATGAAAGTACGAAGAAGAAAAGACCCTGGTAACGTAAATGTGTCCACACCCGTTGACGCGAAATCGCCAACACTACAACGATCCACCCCGATAAGGTGAGACATCAGAAGGAAAAGACGCAAAGGAAATCTATGTACACACGGCGACATTGATTGGCACATTTTCGCTACCGCAACTTGAGTCATCGTGTATGTAGTCTACAGTATCTTGTAAACGTTTTTGTGCTCATTTATTTGTTCGATTAAAAAAAGTAATGAATTAATCAAGTAAAGCGACAGACTCAACATTAGCCCAATTTCCAGCCGGATTCCCTCCACTCACGGAAAATACTTCAGCATATACATCCCCTTCGACTGTGGGCATATATCTCAGTGTTCGTCGTCTTTAACGTTAGTTGTAAGCATACAGAGACCGTGCACCGAAATGGACGTTTATGTTTTTTTTTTTTTTCTCCCATCATTGGATTCTGTCGTCTGCCCCTCTGGCCCCTATCCTCCACTTCTACTAGCTAGACAACCCTACCGGGGTCACATAGGAGGGGGGGGTTGGATCCCCTCCTGCGGTTCCTGCCTGAGATATTTTTATCGCGAGAAGGGTACAGTAATCCCTTCCCTCGCGACTTATGAAGTCGATCGAGTTTACTAACAACGAGCTTCGCAGCGCGTCACTTCCAACTTAGACCGGGATTTATTTAGTGAGAAAAATACTCACTTTGCCGGGACTCGAACCCATGACCTGGCCCTTAGTAGGCTGCGAGGTTACCTACTAGACCACCGGAGCGACCATGTATGTGTCGCCCCGAAACACTACCGGAAAATATTTGTCGTATTTAGCCTGTACGTGTGGGGTTACATTACAACCAATACGAAGTAGTTCGGTGCATCATCTCTTCTGCTTCACCATCCCACCCATAAACTACCACACACAGCATGTATGTGTACTTTGAAGTAGTATTTGATGTGCCATGGTATCAGGAGGGCGATAACCCACAGCACGTACACGTCCCACCGCAGTAGTACTGCTATACTGTATGCTCTGCCAGAGGGAAAAATGAGGACCGACCCCCTATGAGGCGGCGGAGGACGATATTTACCCCCCGATGGATGCAACGCTTCTACACCGTGTAAACTATTGATTTCTGGTTCCGAACCGTGCACCTGATGTACGCATTTTTTTGCACTGTTCCAAACCTACAGGATATAGCCCTATCCCTGACCAAACCCAGCGACCAACCCGACCCAAAGCTATACAATGGTAAGCCTCAAGCCGCAGCAACCCGCGGGGGTAAAAGGTAGGTTGCTGTGTACGCGGCTGCCCCCGTGTAGGTTGCTGTGCACTGCTGCTGTGCACGGGCTGCACCTGACCCAAGGAATGTTCCAAGAAATGGTATTCCAACATGGAGACCGCCACTTACGCTCGACTAAGCCGTGATGAGCTCTACTTGAAGTGTAAATAGTTTGCAGATTGCTGCGGGCACGACACCAGCCGCAACCCCCCCCCCGCTTGTCGTCGGGATCGAAAGGGAGACGCACTACAGTAGTAGGGCGCTTTGTGCCATGTCATGCGGAGACGTGGTTGCTTGGTTGCGCGTGTGGCGAGGGTGAGGTGCACCACCTCAGCGGCTTGCCGAATCTATGAAGCATGCCGAATCTATGAATGGCCTGCACGTCAATTGAACGGGCCGTGATTGGTGGCGTCATTGTTGATCTCGGAGACGCGACGTTCTGCCCTCGCTAGCGCTGCACGCAGTCCGCCTCCGAGAGCGTGCGGCACGGCGGCAGGGCCCTCTCAACACAGGGGGCTATTGGTAGGTGCAAGTCTCGCTGCGAGGCAAGGTCTACGGGTGCAGAAACCGCGAAAAAAACGCTCTAGGCTGACGAGAGCATCAGGATTGCCTTTCCTGCAATCTCGTGAACCCTCAGCCGGGGGGAGATTAGTCGATAGGTCTTCATGGTTGATCGCCGGGATTGGATCCCAGCGAGCCACTGACGGTGTATCTCGCTTGCGCGCGGGCATGACTGCTATTGTAAATGGATTGATGCGAACGAGAATGCGAGGTGCAAGACAAAGAAGCGAGTGTGCAGCCCCAGCGGGAGCACTAGACAAATACAGACCGGCAGCCTGGTGTCCAATGGGTCGCAGCGGACACGTACTCTAAAGTGCAAGTGATTCTGGCCTGTCGTGCGTAGAGAGAGACATGCTAGAGCAAAGGATAGCACGAACGACCAATCTTACCCAGTCTACATCCAAGTGACATCAATGCTGGCCAGTGGCGCGCCGACAGATCAATCCGCTGCGATGTGAGAAAGACGGCGTGTACAAAAAATCATATGGTAGACTGGTTTGGTGTGTTGTTGATGTAATCGGTTTTGAGTGAATGTGAGTGGCATCGTCACTCGCTTCGCTCGCAGACACTTAACGGGGTTTTGGGCGTGGTGCAGTATGCGGTCACAGTACCGGGTGACTCGGCTGGCTCGGTGCACCGAGAGAGGAAGCAATTGCTGCGATCTGAGAAGAAGACAACGTGTTGATATATTTTGAGCCTCACAGTTACAAGGGCCCCGGGGTCATCACGTGATCACTACCGTGTTAAGCGCTCAAGAGACGATTCTCCTACCCAATTTCCGATTACTATGCCAAGTTTCCTAAGCGAAGTGAATAATCATCCGTATTGACTAGAGGACGACATCTCTCTCTCAACATCGCAAGCGTCTATGCGCCTTGATTTTTGCCCAAGAGAACAGCGGTAACATACGCAACATAACTACTACTGTAGTCACGTACCTCCTGGTGCAACTGTGACAGGCCGTAGTATGTGAGCTGGCTCGCCGTCTCTCGAAAGAACTCCTCTGCCACTTGCCCCTCGTTCAAAGCAGTCGCCATCTTGTCAGACTCTGTTTCCGAGGTAACACTTGAAGCACGTGCACATTTGTCTGTGGGAAGCCCCTCTTCACGATGCAAGATGGACTCGGAACCCTGCTGACGCGTGATCGTCGATGCCGAAGAAAGTCCCTCCTGACCAGTATCCTCTTCGCTTCTTCTCACTGGGGTTGGAGCATTCTCTCCCAAAGGCTCACTTGCATCGTCGACTACCACCGCGCCAACGCTTTGAGCTGTTTGTAATGGTTTGGTCACGAGTTGCGCTTGGGTTCCAGCATCTTCTTCCCCCGCAGTCTTCGCGAAATTCGTCGATCCTGCCTCCTGGTGGTCGTTGCTTTCGGATTTGTCGCTCGGGACATTTTGCCTGGCTCCCACGTTATCAAAGTCTTGCTTCCTGGGGCCCGATGCTTCAACCGTCAAAGATCGGAATTCTAGTAACTTTTCAACTAGCTTGTTGTATGACATCCCTTCGATGACGCTTCCCTACGATGGCAGCAGAGATGGGCAAATGCACGCGGACAGAGTATCCAAGTCAAGCAAGTAAATTGGAAGTAACGTGCTGTGGCCAGGGGTATCTTCAACTATCGATAACATACTCCCTCACCGTGTGCTTGTCCTCTGGGTCTAAGATCCACCCGTGCAGCAGAGTAACACCGCTCATGTCGAACGCCGCCATCTCCTCAGTGAATTCGAAGCCGCGGACACTATTGAAGCGTACGTTGACATCAAGCCCATACTGGAGCCGAGGTAGCAGCTTGATAACTGTGTCCAGCTGAGGTCGTGGGGAAGGTTGTGTTGGGGTCAGCGATCCTGCCAAACTACAGCAACTGAATATTTAGAGTTGCTAGGATCCGGAGGGTTGCCCCGCCCGCGCCAAACAAATAGGCCAGCGCGCAGGAAGAAATCGAGTTAGCCCAGGGGCTACAACAATTCGAGGTAGGGAAGCTCCTGCAGAGCTGACGGAAGTTATTTGGGCATGCACGTTGTCATCAAAGCGAATACGTTGCCTTGCAACGCCTCGAAATCTGCAGAAACGGAAACTTCGCAACGCGTGCATTCAAACTGCCATGTCCTGTCTGAGCTTGTTAAAGTTGCGCGTGGAATGGCGATGTTGGATTGGCCACATATCGTGAGTGACACTGGTTTCTTACCGTCGCCGGGGGCACTTTATACCTAATGACGACCTCCTCCTGCTACAATTGGGCCCCAGTCGTATTTACTACATGAAATTTGATGAATCTCCAAGGCCTTTAGTACATATTAGCGAGGCAAAGTGCGCACAACAACTGCCGTATGCTTCAACACGTTACGTTTCGCTGGGCTTTTTCAGACGACTACCGTGCTTTCGTGTAAAACTACTTGTTTTGGGAGGGACCATCGCAGCTCGCAATGAGGTGGCTTTTCGGAAAGAAAACGTTGCGTAAGATATTCCCCGGAAACACGGGCAGAGGCGTGCGCCTGCGTGCGAAAAACAAAGCTACTTCCAGTGCGTGCGAAATTCGACCATGTATACGTTCGTGGTGGATCTTTGAGCAGTGGACTCAAGCCGATCCCACCAGCACGGCAACAAAAATTAGAGCCAATATTTGTGCACTGGACATTTGCCTAAAAGTGACCTATCACAACTGCTCCCGCTCAAAACGTGTTGGTTGTGCTTGAAGAACAAAGCTGTGAGTAGACAGAGGAACACCACACACCCACTGCTACAGCACACACACAACACTGATGATGATGTAGCACAGCTGCTGCTGTGATGCTGTACACCTCCCTACCCTTGAGTGTGCGATTCTTCCCTTCCCTGGTCCACTTTGTCTGAACGACGGGGGCAGGTATTCCGCGCGCGGGTTTGAATCACCCCCTCCCCAAACCCCACCCGGCTCAAAATAGACGTGCCACCCTTGTTGCAAGTCCCCACAAAAGCCATTCATTATTTCGTAATACCACAAGGCATCGTTGACGCGGAGCCCCCACAGCCGCCGTTTTCCTACAAGGACGGGCCGCAAATTCGCCACAACTCCGGCTGCAGTGGCGATCCAAAATATGGCCAACCCTCAAAAGGAACCTTTGGCAAGTCTCTACAGCGTGATACCATAAAAAAAATTGGACTGGATCATTTTTTTTAGGTGTATACACATGTAGAGCGCTGAAGGTCAAATTTCGGAGGATGTTGCCGGAGAAATCCAAACAAAATTGGAGGTCGACGCGCGGGGCGTGTTTGCTCGAGATAGGCGATAGAGTGCTTCACTGGAACGACCCACGTAGTGGATATATCCTAACAATACCTATTCCTATGTAATCCACTCAGGCGAAGTCTCGAGCGAGTTCGTCAACTCCTTCGCAGGTATATAGCAGCGTGAAGTTTGGTGCTGAGAGCTGCGAAACGGGCTTGAATCAACAACTTATTAATTTTTGATAGCACGGCATTTGCCAGGTTCAGAGCGAAACCAGGGCGTACCAAATGTCTTCGCATGTAAACGTAACAAGCTAGAGGTATCCGGCTGGTTTAGCACGTCGCTATCGGTGGGAGTACCAGCGGTGACAAAGGTGCGCACCAGATGGTGTCACAGGGCAACACATCTTGGGGGCTCAAGTGGGGTACCATCGAGTTTCGCGGAGCCCGTTAGTCATACTTTTGTAGCTTCCTGCAACACGGGTGGGAGTAGATTGCTGCAGGGATATATTTTTCACATAAAAAAAACTCGCACAATCTAGTAAACGTAACAATGTTAGCGATACACGAGCATAGAGATAACCAAATACCTGTGTCTGCTGGTTGACGTTTATCCGTTCATCCTCATGGGGAGGATTGGAGTCGAGCAAAAAGCCGGCAACGAGTTGCGTCAGTTCGCTGAAGGAAATCTCGGACAAGTCCTGGGTCGCAAACACAGCAGCAAGAACGCGAACATGTAGTTAACCGCAAATCACGTTCATGGATGCCCGCCTACGCGTTGACTCCGCTCACTGCACTGCATGCCATAAGAGAAGTGTGCGCACGCTACTAAACCCTATGAAAGAGGTCAAAGCTCGCCCATTGCCCTACAAAAGGAAATATAAAATTAGGCTTGGCCCTGCAGCAACGAGCAACATCTCTCACTTCAGGTTATCAGAGACGCCAAACAACAACAACAACAGCAGCACTTACGGCTACCCAAGGTTCCTAACAAAAACAAGCGTTGCAAAAAGGAAACGACGTTTCGCAAACCAAACGAAACAACTGGGATTTAGAGTAAGGGATTTGAACAAAAGAAGCGTTACAGGGGGGGGACTAAAAATAGACCGAAAAAGCACCTATTTAAGGAGTACTTACGTTTTGCGCCGTAGATCGAAAAGTCAAACTGTGCCAAAATCAAAGCCCTTACATGTTTATTGCAGTATGAGAAAAACCGGTGAACCAACTACATTCGCGTTCAATCCGTTTGATGATCGGGCATACACACGTGGAGAACAGCGGCGGCGCGTCAAACGACCCAGAAGATCCGGCATTTTGGCCAAATTTCGGGCTGCTGTATGCAACTACATACAGTTCACGAGAACACCTCTAGAATCGTTTCTGGTTGTCTGCTGCTGCTGTCAAGTCATGCGACGGCACTCACACACCATATCGGTAGGCTCTGGCAGTTTCAAGCAGTGTAGTTGCTGGTGGCGTGCTATAGCTGTCTGCAATTGCAGCACATTTGCTGCGCTGAATCGCCCAAAATCTCGGCGCGAAGATTGTGCTGAAATCGCAAAACTTCAAGCACCTCGATCTCGCGCTACAAGGCCTAAACAGATAAACGGCACAGTTTTGATCGACGGGGTTGCTCAAGCTGGTATGATTTCTCCAAAAACATGGTAGAGGTTTGAGTCTCCTGGGGCTAACCGCCAGAGGGCACAATTGAGATACCTACAGCAGTCGGCGGGGGCACCGCTCGGGATTTTTATAATTAGCCGCGGAGAGCGCGAAGCGTGACATTTTTTCTCTTCATCCTCAAGCGGTTTCTAATGGATGTTTTTTATGTCAGTAAAAAAGTGCAATTTCTGCTTCCGAACATTTTTTTATTTCATGTTTTCAAGCGGTCATGCGTTCGGAAATGATTACTTTTTTTTATCGGATGGCGCGTATGTTTTTTGCGTTTGGAAATGCACACACCACACGGACAAAACCATCGATTGCGCATCAAGTACTGGTCGTAGCGAGCTCATCAAGGGCCCCGAGCAACCCTCGCAGGAGCACTGTGCTGCCATCCCAGCCGTTGATATGTGGTTGCCATGTGGCCAGGTGCGCTCGCTCAAATCAAAATGTTGGCCGACACCGCTCGTTCAGACCCGCAACGACCAGAACCGCAAAGAGACGCAGCATCATCTAAAAACATTTGCCATTACAGCAACAGCAGCACTACAAGTGCATTCGCGTGAGATACCACTGTTCATTCTTGTCTCAGTACCGTTCGGTGCCGTTTGGCGGTACTGCTGTAGAAGAGGCGAGACAACAGTGTGTGTTCCTCCGCCGTTGATGTGAAACACTTTCAACAAACTTCCAGCGGGAGCGGGTGCATTACGTGGAAGATCCGTTCGAAATATATTCCGCAAGTAATGAATTGCGCGTTGCGTCGCCTGGAAGCATTGTGTCTCACACCTTGCACACAGCATCGCAGATAGACTACCGCAAGGTATTAGGTCGTCACCCGCGGCTCATCCCCCCCCCCTACTAGTATAGCAGTTTGACCTGTGAGAAATTTATATATATATATGGTTGGCGGGGAAACACCATCACGGAGCCCCAGGGACACAGGGGACGGCGAGAAACCTAGCCTTTGAAGTTTCGTACTGGAGTTAGACTTTGGAAAACTGACATATGCAGGCGTTTGCTGGATTTTGGAATAGGAGACCTGCGGTTCCCAGTGCGCCCTTAAACGAAGACCTAACGACCACACACGAAGAATTCGTGTTGGAGGTACCTGCAGCAGTACTCGGTGTCATATCGTGTCATCGCTGTTGAATATTATCAACGGGTTACGTTCATATGGGTTTCAACGGCGTTTGACATCGCACAGTAATGCAGATAGACAGACTACTTGCTGTGAGGTATTGAATTGTACCCCGCGGCTCATGTACACGGCCTTAGCCACATTGTATAATATGATAATATGTGTGTCAACATTACGTGTATCGACCTCTGGTACGACCTACCGTCCGTGGCTTCCTAATACGAGATTGCCGGTGCTGATGTCCTACGACAGGCTGCCAGGAACATCGACAGAGGTATACTACCACTAGATACACTTCGTACACGTACAACGCATTAATGGAAATCTGATTAGTACTGCTGTAAATGTACTGACAGTATCTCGAACTCTCCATCCACATTTGAATGAAATTCAACTTCTACAACATACTTTGCATCACCACTCACAGGATGGATCGAAATATTACTTTGAAGGAGGAGGATGTTCCCTATTGCGAGGAGCGGGCAAGGTCCATTCAAGTTTTGGCATAATATGGGAACCTGCAGGGATGCGGGCACGTTGGAGAGCGGGAGAGCAGCGTGTGTCAGATGGTGTATGGACAGTGAACTTCGTGCTACAGCAGTACACATGGTACATGGAAGTCTAGGCGGCGGAAAAACTACATCAGTACCTTCATCAAATCACTTACCATACACTTGACCAACACTGCCCGGGTGAGGTCAAGGAAGCAAGGACCCACCTTTCGACCGAAGAATCGCACCCTCTTGATGCGGTATGTATCAACAGCAGACATTTTGCGAGGGTCTCCACGGCTGCTGGTGTAGCTCGGTTACTGTTGTTTTGCTTTTCTGCGCTTGTCATGTGCGTGTGGCGCGCCGTGGGTTCCGCCCTTTGGAAAATACCCCCCCACTTTTCATCCGACGGATCCCCAGAGATTTGATTTGTGTGTGACAGAGTTTCTGAGCAGTGCTGAGTGGTGCTGAGGTAAGTGGTCTTGGCAAACCATCAGCAAGACGACCAGCCGGAGAAGCTTGCCTTAGGAGTCAATAATGGCGATGTCTGCTGCTTTTGCTGGCTTCGCGAAGCGATACAGCGCCAAGTACATTCAAACTGGAAGGTGATTTGATCGATAATATTGTGGAGGCTATCGATTAGGGGGGGGGCTCTTCTTCATCGTGTAGCCCACGCTATATCTGGGGATGCTCGATTCCCGGAGCGATAGCGTTGTACGGGGGTTGCTCCTTCGCCTCGCGCCAATCTCTCTGTGTTTGTTTTCTTCAGGTCTTTTTCAAGAATTTGTGCGTCCGCTACTGCTGTCGGTCTCTAATCTACGGTAGCACCTTGTGCGCTTCTCGGTATGATGCACGTATGCCCACAGAGCGGAATTCTTGTAAAATACTACTGCTGTTCTTCAGCAGAGTGTTTTTAGTCTGCATCAACAAGACCCGTTCGAGATTTCAACCACGACAGCAGTTCTTTAACTCCTTTGCTGTGTTTTGCACACACCAAATCAGTGGGATTTCACCGCACAGACGGTTTGTATTTTACTGCATCTGCTTGTTTGTAACAATACAACTGCCTACACTCGTCAGCTTCGCCGTTACAACTTTTCAGCTGTAGAAACGGGGGCAAAAGTTCCGGTTCTTTACCTGACCCCTCCACGTCTCCAGGCACCCAGATGCCGCAGGAGGGTAAGCTACACATTGGGTGTAGACAATGTTGGAGCTACAAGAGCCAACATCATCAACGGTGCACAACATGACAGAGGTAGCACGTAGTGGAACGCCTACAGCAGTACAGGGTTTCGTACATCTTGAGAAAGTTCAGACAGCGCTGGCCTCCCAACAACCAAGGAACCGCGCTGCTGCACGCAAATAAAATACCACAATGCTACAGAGTATGCATACAGCAGTCAGTATAGGTACAATCCTCCACTTTCGTGTGCACAGTTGTCTTGCAAAATAGAGGCTGCTATCGGAAGCAGGGAGTGGTTTCTCAACCCCTCCCAGTCATTCGTTCGTCCCCCTTCTCCTGCGTACATAACCATCACTTGATTTTCACCGTGCTTCACGGAGACCGTTGTTAAGCCTAATAGCAGAAGCTGACGGTCCACACCTTCACGCGAGGTTAGGCGGTCGTTTACTCGTAACTAAGGTTATGAAGTTGCGCGAAGTTTTATTTGTTCCGGTGATCCCGCAGATTTATGATGACGGTGCACATTGTTACATAGCTGCATCACCTCGGGGACTAAGCATTTCTCAGGCGGACCTCCCTCAAGGGAAAGGGGGGAGCATGGCAAGTGTTGGGGCAATGGAACCTCACAGTGAAGGAGTTTGGTGCTTGTCGCTTTTGGTTTTTCGAATTGGGAAAACACACACTCATCTTCATCTCCGTCAAACAAACTACCGCTGCCGATCGGAGTGCACGCGAGAGCGTGGTCGGTTTGCCCCCGGGCGATAGCTGGTTTAGACCTAGAGGAGTAGCGGAGAATACATTTTAAATTTCAGTTGTGGGGACGCAATATGATGTCGGTCCACACAAGAGTTTTTCTCCACCTTCCTTCTGCAGATGCTTGCCTCGCCAACCGTCAGGTCGATTATTTTGCGTACACACGAATGTATTGCTTTCCAGAGGGTTGGGCATGTGTGAGAAAAATCCCAGTTAGTGTGACGGCACCGAGATTCGAACCCACGTTCCAAACGTCAGAAGGTTGCAAGGAAGCCTACCTACTGAACCGCTCAATGATCAGTGTTGTGTGACCGAGGATACAGCTCGAAATACGGCATTGTCCGTTGAATAGTCTTCGGCACGCCCGTCTCAAGCCGAATTTGACACGTTCAGCGCAGCCCGAGGGAGAAACGTAGCCGCTCAGCGGTTGCGACGGGCGCAACGTCCCTGGGTGGCATAATTTTACGATTTTGGACCGCCATCACGCGGATCACAAACGCTCCACGGCTATTAATATTGAGTAGTAAGCAGCAGATGGTTCAAGACTTGGAAGCAAAACCCTTAATCTATGTGTGTCTTTATTATTCGCATCGACTGGGCTAACCCGCTGACCAATGAAAATACGTCAATCTCTGCGGTTGAAAACACAAAACACTTCTAAATGCCATGAACTGGGACTTCGTGAGGTGTGTGTGTGGGTGTTCTTCCCATCTATTCTGGCGCGGGTTTACAGGCCTTTCTTTGGGCGTATGTACCTGACGTATCAGCCGGCAAGCTGGCATCGAAGAATCGGAAGCGTTGGTGGGGCTCCAAAGAAGCCCCATCCGCTCCGCCACTAGTGTAGCATTCTGCTGTAAATACTCCATATCGTTTGGAATCTCAACTCTATTGGGAGATACAACGAAACCAAGGGCGGTTCCTCCGGGAACATTTATTGGGTTGTACTTTGAAAGAACCAAGAAGCAAGAGCTTGTTGCAATGTGCTGCTACAATGGTGTTGAGCGCGAAATTTGCATACTGATCAGGGTGAACACTGATAAATAGCAGAGATGAAGTTGGTGATGTAGGCAACCCCTCATTCATAAAACTGATGTAGCTGCTTTGTGCCCGCTGTGGTCGTCGCTCGACTAGGGTCGATCGTTCCGCGGAGGTTGTGGCCGGCAAGTGTGCGGGACTTCAATAGCTTGCACTATGAAACATCGCATCCTGTGGATATTGTTTTTTCGTCAACCTTGACGCACGTGCAGCAGGGCGGATATGACAACGTGTTTGCTTTGCACCAGTATCTTGCTGGATACGAAAAGTTCGATCGTTGCAGGTCTCTTCAGGTGTTGCACCCATGAGACATCGTGCGCAGGCAAATGCTGCTTTCATGTGACCGCACACTGCACATAGCCCTACCGCATGAAATGATGAAACTACCGTACCTTCTCAAGTTACACATAAATTTCTGCCTTTTCGGCACCATCGGCCTGATACTTCTTCATTCTTGGCTCTCCACGTCCCGTTCCTTCCCCTACTGCTGTCCGTCTCCAGCTTTTCACCAGTTCTTCATTTTATGGGAGTCAGTGCGCTGACCCACCTGTCGATCAAGTACGTCGTCGTTGGGCAACACAAAAGCGCGCAAAAGTAAGTTCTGTATTTGTGTGATTTGCTCCTGTCCTTCGCTGCACGAAACGATTCTGCAGACGCTGGTGACGTTCACAACCGAAAGCGTATTGCTACTTGTGTACGTCACTACCAGGCTCTTGGTGCTTGGTGCGTGCCCAGACGATTATTTTGCGTTTGTGCGAATAACTTTCAATGCCGGCAAGAGGTGTGGTAGCCACTGCTGCCAGTCAACTATCAAGACAAGAGGGCCCTCCATGTGGAAACCATGGAAACCCCCCAGATTGCGTGTCAATCTTGGTCGCGGAGGGGCCTACCCAAAGAAGGGTACGATATGACTCTCAGAATGCGGATCGAAAGCCGATACAATGAAGAGTATAGTGGTTTTACTATGGACACACTAATTCCTATACAGTAGACTGCTGCAAGTGAGCCGCTCAATGTGGCTATCCTGCGTGTCAATCTTGGTCCGGGGGGGGAGGGTTAGATACGAGTACCCGTTCTCACGCGTTGGTTCAGGATGCGCTTTTTGCCGTTTGCTGGACACCATACCGACGAGCTACGTGTTGATCAGTTTTTACAGATCGAGATGAAACACCTGTCTAGGCCCTTAAATAGATATGCTCCATGCATCACTGGAGATATCATCCCTGCGGTAACATTTTAGCGTTGAAAAGTCATCAGGGAAGTGTACTGTTCCCAAGGGTGTGTGATAGTACGAACGACCCCCTTACGCGAATCACCGGCAAAGATTAGTATTCATTTGTCCGCAAGTTGGGGGACATACCGTATATGACACAAGATAACACACCCCGGTGATAACATTTTGGAGTTTGAAAATATTATCACCGGGTGTGGTATCCTGTGGGGGGGGTGTTATCTTGTGTACCCCGGGTGATAAAGTGCAGCTCGCAGGGGCCCTTAAGGGGGTGTGATAAAACAGGTGGTGTGATAGCGCGTCCGAACACCCACAGCGTGTGTTTGGGGGCGGAGAGGTGTGCGCGGGCTCAAAGAAGGAGGTGATCTGCTGTGGCGCCTGCGCTGCTGCAGTCGAAGCAGTTGTCGAAGGAGCGGAGGTACTTGCGGCTGCATTCTGCTCTGCCTGCACGTTCATGTTGTTGGGGGTCTCCATGCGGGGTGTTTCCCCGCACACAGCTGACGTGGTTGTGTGTGTGATTGCCCAGGGCAGATGCTGTCACCCCGGTGATAAAGAAGGAGGGGCCCCGTGACTATATGCGGCGTAACTACAAGATCACTGGGGTGTGTTATCTTATGTACCCCTGTGATAAAAATCGATGGTTTGTCAGAAGCGCCCAAAACTATCACCGGGGTGTCGTATTCTGTGGGGGGTGTGCTTTCTTATGTAGGTGTGTTATCTTGTGTCATATACGGTATAGATATAATCAGGGAATCGATCCGCAAGGCGGTGCCGGTTCTGTACTGTATATCTGTATATCCTCTTTTTTCAAATTATATTCAGTGCCCAAACCTCTCTCTACATTCCAATGCAGACATTTGAATGGCGTTTGTAGAACGTATACGGAGCTTTTTCTGCAGAAATCGCGGCTCTTCGCTGTGTACCTCTCTCGCACAACACATTCTCTCACCCGCGCCATCAATCAGTCGATCCCTGTGCAGTTTACGAAGTATATTTCGCGGTTTGTATTACCTACGGGGTCTAATGTCCCACGTAGGCGTATACTTCTGTCGCTTAAGTTTGACTCTTTTCCGATCCGAATTTCTTGTGTGCAGGAAGGAGGAGGCGAAGAAGATCCGCGACTTTTACAATGCCCACCACGTCGGGGCCCACCACTGATGCTCTCAACCGCGTTGTACCGCTACGTAGGGGGAGTTCAGTGTGGGCGGGAGGGGGGAGGGGGGATAAGAGTGGGGGCTGACTTCGGCCAGAGGGCTGAGGAATGCTGCCTGTGTGAGGTCCTACGTTCTTCGCATGAAGTCCTGTCATGTGTATTCAGCAGAGGACTGGGCTATGAATAGGCTTGTCAGCGAGTTCGCGAATGAACAGGTTATATCTGTGACGGTTTGGTATTTCATTTTGGGGGGCAGAGTGTGTCGGTGATGGCGGGGTGGCGCACTGGAGTATGGCCTCGATCGAATGGCGATCGGCCTCGGCATGTTTCCATTCGACGCAGGCATGCAATGTACATTGCTGAGTCATGGACCTACAGGTGCACTGCTTGTTGTCCAGCAAGCAAGCAGATTAAAGAAAGCGTGCGCAGCAATTACATGCTCATCAGCAAGGACCAATCTCTCGTCATAGCTGGCTCATCCTGCATTCGTGACTGCCAGTCATGAGCAGCACATTTTCCCTTTTGACATATATCCCGACTCCTTCCGTATCATACACCAGACGGAGTTTCTTCGCTTTTCCTCCTGTGGTGCTTGCCCTCAATTTTTTGCGCAAGGGGTCTGTCTACTCAATACTAGCGCTTTACAAGATGTGGAGTTACTTCACTCCCCGAGGCGCTTTCGCATGTACGATTGGTCATCCGTTTGGTCACGTCTGTCAACCACTTCTAACCAGCGAGGACGGGACGTTTTGAATGCCATGTACTGGGTTCTTCTGTGTGATGATCCTTTTCGGAACATTTCTGTGATGTTGAGGCGCAACGCTTCTCATTCGCAAACCGAAAATATAGATCTAACCACACGCCTTCCGGTCCAATCTCTGCTACAAGTACCGTATGAGGCGGAGAGATGGCACCGGGTGCGCTCGTTTGTTTGTTTTTGCGCACCCCCGCGCCTGGTCATTCACCGACCAGTGCCATCGGTTGAAAAATAATTGGGTTTTTGTATTTTTTTTTCTCTCCCCGACACCACGGTGCGATCTCTCCGATCGGTGCCATGTGTCCGCCTGTTTGGTACCTCCTGTACTTTAGAACATCCGTTCTGGCGCAACACTGACGCGGACAGCCGTGATACTCTCAAGTACACCGGGGGACCAATGCATATGTATGAAAAATCCTTGCTTGTGGTTACAGAATATATATCTCGAACAGGTACATCTCCTGAAACATCCACGAAAGGATGCGCTCAAAGTCCTGTGTTTTTTTAGAAAATACGAGGTGTAGACTACAGTACCAATTCAAGGGATGTTACTTTTTCGATGCTGCTGTGCGACCTCGGCTTGGCGTCGAACATGTACCCAAAGGGCGAAGACTCGCATCCAAATAATAGATAGGCAACGCCGGTATTTTCTAGGAGTAAGCGTTTGATGGAGGACGAAACACACTGACTACATGCAATGATGCTATGTAATTTTTTGGTGGTCTGAACATCAAGAACGTCGTCTGGTTCTATATTATATTGGGGAAAAGCGCAATGATTCTGATTCATACGTCAAGTAAACTATGGTCACTCAATCAGTAGACAGTAGAGTCACACCCTATGCCACAATAGCAGTAAACAGAGCAGTGAAACACGCACACCAGGAGCAAATGGAAACAAACCACTGGATGGAATCAAAGGTAACCTTTGTGTGTCAGCAGTCGTCTATGTAATAAACGAGGTCGGGGCTTATGATTCACGCAGTATTGTGTTCAAACAACGCCTCTTCGTATTTTTTTCGTGCTTCACGCGAAATTAATATAATTCGCCCCCGCTTTGCGCTGCCCTGGTCGCTGAGCCACAAATTGAACTACTTCCTGTACCGCCGTACTATCCCACGAGGATATATGCGGAGCAGCTACAGCTCATTGCAGTGCTGTAGACAGCAGGTCCTCTGTCATAACATTTGCGGAATACCTGCGCCCATCGGTGACAGCTAGAAGAAGGATTGCAGTTGCAGAAAGAGCTGGCTGGGGGTATGTTACACATCAGCCGCCACGTTCGAGGCTTGCAACAGGCAGTTGTGGCTGGGAGCCGGCCAGCTGCAAGACATCGCCAGACGATGTGGAGGTGAGTTCCTGAGTGTGTACAAAGGGGTGAGTGGGAGGTGTCTGGTAACGAAAGTTGTTATCAAGGGTTAATTACATGGAGGGATGGTGACTTTTGCGTTTGTCCAATTATCATTGATGCTGCCTTGCTGCCCTTGTACGTAATTAGAGTTTGTGCATGCCCAGACAACCCGCGGGTCAACGTTATGTAGCCAAGCAGACCAACGTTGGGCACTGACAGCAAGTGTCGATCACGCAGTTGATCTTTTTGTGGTGGGCTCTTTCACAGGCCAGTGGGGTGCTTTTGTACCAAAACCTGTCGTGACGATAGAGAGAGATCATCTGTAAGCGCTCCGACAGGCAAGATCCTGGGTCGTACGCATAGCATACGTGTTGTATGGAACTGCTGTAAGTAGGTATGCAACGAGACTCACCAAAGCTAGATTTACGATCACGATACATACAGTCCCATGCATAGCCATTACATCCTACATACTCGTATCACACCACTCCCGGGCCTCTGGAGCATACTTTCGCTTGGCCGACATGCCTTCTTCAGCAGAGCACCGAATCGCGAAGAAAAATCTGTGCAGTGCATGTAGGCGAACCTATGTAGCAAGTGGTTTCGAGAAGACTTCTCTGTTTGGTCGTATGTGGTCTGTTGCGGTCTGGTGGAGTTTAAATCTCGATGCCGTCATATCTCGCCGACGTCGACAGATAGTGGTGGACCGCAAATCTGTCACGAGGTAATGCTAGCTACAGCAATAGTGGCTACGGTTTTCTTCACATGTAGGTGCAGAGAAAATCGCGTCCGCTCATTGGGAGAGGCTGTACGGTCCCGAGGGCCGAAGGCTGACTTGGGTTCAGTATGTGAAGTGTCACCAAATGCACCGGGGACACTTTCTATTCTGAACCCCAAATTTCTCCAGACTGAGCTATGTACAGTGTTACCAACAAGGGGACTCGCGGCTTTGGAGATTGTGTACAGCAAGTCAGAGGCCCAGGAGAGGCACACAGTGTACCTCACACAAGCATGCTAGACCAAGGTTTCCCACGCAAGTTTCATGCAGCGGAGCATAGTGACGACCACGGTGCGGTTACAAGCTTTTGAGTGCTGTGTCCCCAAAGTGTCCCCATTTGGGCTTCCTCTTCTACGAGGGTTCCTAACAGAAGAGACCTTACATCCGATCACTGAGTGAGCATCTGTCGAGTACACGGCGCCACAAGCCATAACAACTGCCGTATGACAGTTACCGGGCCTGCTATGTGAAAATGATTCCCCGGTTGTGCGCACAAGCCAAATTCATACGGTGTTGGTAGTGAGACTTAAGGCTACGCCTTGTTTCAACCAACCAACAAGGCGTTATATGCATACATGTACAAGGGAATGGACTTTCGCAAACAAAACGAAGCAACTTGAATGTAGAGTAAGGGCTTTGCACAAAAGCAGCTTCACGACGAAGCGTCTTTTAAATACTGTTTTGGGCCGTAGATCGAAAATCAATCAGTCCCCAAACCTAACCACTATTTTTTAGCAGAGGAGAACGCCCAGTGCACCAGCTTGATTCGCGTGCAACCCGTTTGTTTACTGGGCATGCGCACGCAGAGAACGGCGGCGACGCGTCAAAGTACCCCGATTATCCGCCAGTTTGGTCAATATCTTCCGGCTGCTGCATGCAACTACATGCAGTTCACAAGAACACCTCTGGAATTGCTTCTGGTTGTCTGCTGGTGCTGTCAAGGCATGCGACGCCACTCACACACCACACCGGTAGGCTGTGGCACTTCCGAACAGTGTGGTTGCTTCTGGCGTGCTGTAGCTGTCGGCAGTTGAAGCTCACGTTTCTGCGTTTGTTCACCAAAATCTCTGCGGGACGACAGTCCTCCATTCGCAAAATTTCAAGCACCTCGATCTCGCTCTAAAAGGCCTAAACTGATAAGCAGCACAATTTTAATGGACGGGGTTGCTCAAGCTGGTGTGATTTCTCCACATGGATGTAGGGGTTTGTGCCTCCTAGTAGGGCTAAGCGGGAGACGGGGGAATATGGAGTGTACAGCTTTCGGCGGGGGCACCACTCGGGATTTTTTATAGACAGTTTGACCTGTGAAAAAAAAAAGTATGCATACGTATGATTGGAGGAAAAGCAGCTCACAAGAGCCCCTGGGACACAGGGGACGATAGGGAGGCTGGCGTCGCCTTAGTGGGGCCACATTGGACAGAAAATCGCGAGCGTAGATTCCTGGTACTTCGTCTGTGAAAAAGAAATTGAACCACATGTGGGAGAACCACGCACATACCAGCACATGTAATATTTCAACGCCAGTCATATTCAACAGCGACGCCCAGTCACCATCTGTTGGTTTTGTGTGATTTTCTTTCTTCGGCGATGTGCAACGGTGCATGGTGTTGATGTGGGGGTGGTGGCACATACGCACAGGCACGCGCGGTGCGTGCGTACATGCGGTGTTTCGCCAATTTTGGTTCTGGTTCGCCCAAAGCTGGATTTGATGGTCTGTGTCTACAGGCAGGAGTCTAGCATTAAATCGCAACGGATTATTGGTGTTTCTACTGATCCTCGAGCAACAGGCTGTGATGCCTTCCCTATGGTTATATTTCTCTTTGAATTATTCCGGTTCGCGCCAGACAATCCGTCCTGGATGTAAAGGGTGGACGGGCCGGGAATCATGTCAAGTTTCAGTCTTAAAATCAAGTTGCTGTGTTGGCTCCGATCGAAGAGATTCTGAGGTGTTTTTTTTCCCTGAATGTCAGCGGCGGTTTGTCGAAGTTGGCTGAAAACGCTCCACATGCAACACGCTGCGCGTGCGAGTAGACCGCGTTTTACGGGCTGTAGTTCCGGTTCGCCCACCACGTGATGTGAACGGTCATATTTCTTTCTTTCTCGTACCGACTTGAGCCATAGGGTTTTGTTCAGAGGTGGGAATAGTGGCCGGGCAGGGTTACATTTTCCACCAATCATTACATGATTTTTTTTATCTTGTCTTGAACTCGATTCTGAACGTGCTCTCAGCATTCGGTCTGTCTGACAAGGGACAGTAATGTCTGAGACCACGACGTGAATTTGTGCATGTGTAACGCTGTTGTATCCGAGCTGGCATCGGCCAGAATGTGTGTTGGTTCATTTCGTTCTCGCCAGCCCACTGTCCGCGTGTGAACTGGTGCCAGGTGTGACCTTGGCGCCCGCAAACTCTCCGAGGCAAAGTACAGTAAGTAGGCGTACGCCCTCAACTTTACGAAGCTTTGGAAGGGTTGAAGGTAGATTTTGCAGACTATCCAGAGCCCATGCAAGCCGACGATTTCACGCTTTCTTGTAGGACGACAACACGACGTTCGCTCTCTGTCTTTCTCTCTCCCTTTCTCTCACTTGGATCGCTCGCCGCACCCTTCCCACGACGCAGATCCCTCTCAGCTCAACCATCGGAGACGATAGAAGGACGTACGTCTCCGGCTGGGCACATCGCAAAAACGAGAAACATTGGCATATCTGCCCATATTGATAGCGGCAAGACTACGCTTACGGAACGTATCCTGTACTACACTGGGAGAATCAACTCTATCCATGACGTCCGGGGAAAGGTGCTGCTTTGAGTGACGCGACCTTGGAGAAAGTATATCACTACCAGTTGTTGACTCTGCCCACGCCGCCGCCGAGCGTGAGGGCTGTGTATCGTACCCTGGGTACATTTTGCATTTGGGAGCATGATTTTCCTCATTGAATATTGTCGGCGCTCTCAACACTGTATCCCCTCGAGCTTCCAGCAAGCGGCACCGTCCTCTCACATGTTCTGTTTCGCGCCTTTCCTCACGAACATGTTGTTAATTCTGTACGTTCTGACGTTCCCACCTTTTCCCTACTCGTTTCTTTTATCAAGGATGGCGTTGGGGCAAAGATGGACTCGATGGACCTCGAAAGAGAAAAGGGCATCACCATCCAATCTGCGGCTACCTTTTGTGAATGGGATAACCACCACATCAACATCATTGACACGCCAGGACACGTTGATTTCACAATCGAGGTATGGTATTCACAGAAGCAGAAGCAAGGTTGGTGGAAAATGAGTTTCATGGTAACGGTGAAAAACTGTCTACGTGGGGCACCAGGAATAGCGACAATGTCATGTCGTTGTCGTGGGCGGCTAGAGCTTCTCGAAAGGCATTCCCCGCTTGTGCTCATATTCCTCACGTGGAGCCCCCGCATCTTCGTTTCCCCCAACTTTCTTGGGCGCGTTATTGCTCTGCGCCGATAGGTCGAACGAGCCCTCCGCGTTCTCGATGGCGCCGTCTTGGTGCTGTGCGGCGTATCTGGGGTCCAGTCTCAATCTCTTACCGTCGACCGCCAGATGAAGCGATATTCTGTACCTCGAGTAGCGTTCATCAACAAGCTGGATCGAGCCGGAGCGAACCCGCAAAGAGTGATCAACGATATGCGCAGCCAACTCAAGGTATGCACCTCTGCGGTATCTACATTGGCCTTGTTGAGTTGTCATTGCGGAATTCTGGTAGGAATCAAGGGTGTTCGCGAACGAACATTTCGGATACGTGAGACCCTCCCCCCCTCCCTCCGGGCGGTGGGAATTTGGACAAGTTTTCATGAATCGCCGACAAGATACGACCCATTCGGTTAGGGTTTGTGACCTTCGGACGCTCGTGTTCTGTTGCTTCGACACTACATCTTACATTCCCCGCGACGAAGAGGTTGTGTGTAGGCACATGTGGGCATAATCCAAGAGGGTGTATGCAAGCGTGCACCTGCAGATTGTACTGCTGCTGTTGATAGCTAAAAGCTGCTCCAGAAGGATATTCGAGGTATGCTTGCGCAGCTTCAGAAGACGAGCATGGGGGTCGCGGGTGATGTCCGCCACCTTTCGGGGGTCTTCAAGCCCGGATGGCATTCACACACACAGAGAAGCAGCAGCAGCAGCCTCAGCGAATATCTCTGCATATATCCCGGGGATTTTCGGTACATGTCCCCGCCTCAGCCAAAACGCCTCCGCATAAACCTGGAGATATATACCTGTGAAAATGTCGCCCCCCCTCCCCCCCAACCACCCACAGACCCAGATTGTCGATTCGTGGGCTTGCGTGTGTTGAAAATATTTTCCGCGCACACCCTTGATGGTACGGATTATTTCTTCAGTGTGATGCTCTCAATTCCCGCGCTTGACGTTCTTTTCAGCTGAACACTGCTGCCGTCCAACTGCCCATCGGCTTGGAAGATGGGCACGCGGGAGTTGTCGACCTCGTCTGCGGAAGGGCATTCCAGTTTTCGGGTGTGAAAGGGGAAAACGTGGAGGAGATTGCCGTGCCTGAGAGTATGAAGGTACGTACTCGCGGTTGACACCACGCTAGATTCATTTTGGCTTCCACGCGTCAGTTCCGGCCTCCGCACAATAGTTCACTCGTAGTAAACCACACCATTACTCTTAGTTCAACTTCGGGAGCACGTGTTTGTTCTCAAACTTCGGTGCTAGTTGTTTGGCAACCTTGCGCGCGGCTAAGGTTTCGCATGTGGTACGGTAGATGTAGCCGTTTATCAGTGCCCGCAAAAAATGAAGGCTGCCGCCTTCCCGGCATAAGTAGGAGCTAGGGCGAGCCCAAAATCATAAATCAAAATCATAAATAAAACACGAACAAGTCTCGAGTACACACAAACAGGGAAGGCACTCCTCTCGCATGAAAAGTGGAAGGCAAGCACCGCAGGAGGAAAGTTGTAGACTGGCGCCCGGAATTGGTGGGACAAAGGAAGAAAAAAGAGTGCAAGATGTACATGCAGAAGAGCAACAGGAACGTGGCCCCGGCCAACATTGAACAGGCGGCGTGGGGAAGAGTTCGATCCGCAACCTGTTGTTTTTGGTTTTGCCTTTGTGACAAATATTGATTGCTCTCATTAGCGCTTTTAGTTTTAGTGTGTGTTTGGCGTTGCACTTACAGCTCTCGTCTCATGGTTCTCTTCCGTCCAGGATGATGTGGTAGCTGGACGGGCGCTGCTCGTCGAAATGATGGCAGATCTGGATGAGGACGTGGCAGAACTGTTCCTGATGGAAGAAGAGGTATCTACGAGTATTATGTCCGAAAGGTTAGGTGGGATTTGTTCATGTCTGGGACTTGTTGGGATATCAAACCCCACGCTTGAGGTGCCTGTTTAATTGTTGTCCAGGTGCAACTCGAACGTAACGATGTCGCCGCGCGCATGGAAGTCACCACTGCTGTCTGCTGTCCCGGTTTGCTCGACTTGTACCTCCAGGTAGATGATGCCACGCTAAAGGCGGCGATGCGACGAGCGACGGTGTCTCTCAAGTTCGTCCCAGTGTTTATGGGATCAGCTTACAAGAATAAGGTAAGCTAGCAGGACATCGGTCACTTGCGCTCATCCGAGGTCGGAGGGGACCGAATAATCTTCACCTAGCTCTCGGGTGCTGGAACCCTCTCACACCTTGAACGGTCTACTTCGTATTCGGCGGGGTATGGTCTCCAACGCTCGGGACCAATGTCCGAACTCACCTCCGAGAAGTTGGATAATCGTGCGCGGAAATCCTGACTGCATGGCCCATCATGCACGGGCGGTCATGTTCGTTCGCTCTCTAAGTTGGAACCCAAGGCCATACCAGGGTGTGCATGTTTGATGTTTCGGTGAACGCGAACATTGTTTCCAAGTTTCGTCCTATTGATAGGCCACCTTCTGTCTGTTCTAGCCCTTCACCAATCCTCGTTTTTCCTGCATGGCCTTCAGGGAGTGCAACTGCTGCTCGACGGTGTGGTCGACTACTTGCCGAACCCGTTGGAGGTGCCCAACTTCGCGCTGGATACAACAAATGACGAGAAGAAGGTGACGAATGTGTCCCATTCACAAGGTTTGGACCAAGGGCAATGCTAAGTTTGCTCCAGCGCAGCATTGTGATCACACCTACTCAGCAGTAGTTGTTTTATTTGCCGGTTACTCTCGCAGGTGCTTGTTGAGTGCTGCCCGGACTCTCCTACTCTCGCCCTGGCCTTCAAGTTGGAAGAAGGAAAGTTCGGCCAGCTCACGTACATGCGCCTTTATCAGGTACGTTCAGCCGCTGGTAAATTGGGTAGGATTGACTCGGTGCTCGAGCGTGGGGCATTATAGGAGTGATTATTCGCAGGCTTGAATTACTCTGCTCTCACCGTACATGTAGGACGCGTGAATCACACATCTGTGACCCCAGCCGCGATATTTACACATTTTTTTGCAGGGAAGCATCTCCAAGGGGGACATGTTGTTCAACCTCAATAGCGGGAAGAAGTTGAAGGTGCCACGTCTTGTGCGCATGCACTCATCCGAAATGCAGGTATGTTCCGTAGAAAGTTGTCCGTTTGTCAAGAGCACAGTGTGTTATGTGTGTGTTTTCGTCCTATTTATTATGGCGACAGTCCCCCCATTTTTCGTGGTGAGACGTGTACTACATTCTCTCCAGTGTATTAGAGTACTACACTTCATGGATTTAGAGTACAACTATAACCGTCCAGGGTCACTCAGGAGGGGGTAAACCAGGGCTTTTTCCCTTTTTTTAAAATTTATTTTTTGTGTCTCACGTTCCTCCTGCGGTGCGTGCTGAAGTTTGTTTTTATCGCGAGAAGGGTCCAGCCGTCCCTTTCCCTCGTCAACGGTGCTGACGTCGAAGTTTGATACTCGCGAGAGCTGTTTCAGCTATATTTTGGTTTCACCCGCAAATTGCGTGATTTTTCACCCCATGGGGATTCGCGATCACGACCTTTGCGACTAGCGGTTTTCGAGAATACAACTAGACCACCGGGGCGACCGATGAGTGGTTCTTTTTTTTCTCGGAATTGTTTCGAGCGCTCTTGATATGCCACTTCTGTGCGACATAAACAGGACGTCGATACAGTGGCGGCAGGAGATGTGGTGGCGATGTTTGGCGTCGACTGCTCCTCCATGGACACCTTTACCGACGGAAGGTAACGATCGCGCTGTTTGTGGCTTTTTTCGCATGCTAAAGCAACCGAGGTAGGCGAAGCCTTCAAGTACGTGATCAACTACCAACAGGCACGATCCACTGTAGGCATTTATTCATCAGGCAGTTTCTTGCCACCCTGATGTCGTTTGGCACCAGAGCATTATTGGTGCAGACTGAGACCTGACATTTTCTGCGCATGTAGCTGCTTGAGGCTGGCAAACGGTGTTAATCCGCGCCGTTCCTGCGGACGGATGCGAGAGCAGAAAACAACCGCTGCTGTTGCGGCCGTTCGAGTGTTGACCCTTTCCAGCACGACGCTTGCGGACAAGATATTGCCGTAGGTCGTTCGGATAGGAGTGTAGCTCCGCTTAATTGAGCTCGATACCCACTTCCTGCACACGCCCGGCCTTCAATCCAGGACGCAGCTGGCGATGACTTCTATGTTCGTGCCGGAACCTGTGATGTCTTTAGCGATCACTCCTAAGAAAAGCAAGAAAGGTGGAGGAAGCGACACCGCAGACAAATTCAGCAAGGTCAGTGGCATCATCCCACTTGGTAGCTATTAGTCCTGTCTGGCCGTTGGTGAGAAGCGATGCTCGACGGACGGGTGGCTCCAAATACGCCGAAAACTTGTCAAGCACCCCAGGAGGACGTGTTATGACGAAGAAAGATACCGTACTCCGTACAGAATGCCATGCCGTATGTGTTAAAGCCGAACTACAATCGCCGCTGTGTGGTTTACCTAAGGGCATTCGGTGTCGCTGTGTGGATGATGCAAGTGATCTTTGGTTTCAACAGCTTCCATTCCTTCAGAATGTCCAACTGAATTCAGCTATGGGCGCCAAACTGCGTCCGTTTCTAGGCGTTTGCCCGCTTCACCAAGGAGGACCCTACGCTCCGGGTACACACTGACGACGACAGCAAGCAAACAATCGTGAGCGGTATGGGCGAGCTGCATCTGGAGGTGTATGTAGAGCGACTGAGGTACGCTATGTTGGTGTATGTACTGTAGGCATTCATTCTGATTGCTTGCCCACCACCACTAGTGTAAAAAAAAAATCTGAATAGTTTGTTGCTGCCCCTGCTACAGAAATTCTCCTCTCAGGCGTGAATTAAGTAACCACCTTGTTTCTCGCAGGATTCGAAAACCTTGCAAGAGTCGATGCGATTGTTTTCGATTGAATACCTATGGACCGACCCCCTTTCATGCGCGCTGATACGATCGGTTTTCCTTTCTCCCGGAGAAAACCTGTTTCGTTCCGATCCTGACGAAGCACCTCTCGATGTGGAGTCCTTCTCGTGCCAAAATGACTGAGAGCCTGCCCGTCAGGCAGGAGAAATAAAAAACAATTTCAACTTTCAACACAGCACGCAACGGCTCTGGTGATCGTTCGGCCTGTAGTTGAGGCATCGACCGACAACCCTTCTGGAACTTGCGCTCCAGTACTCTGACGAAGCGTGCATGCCAGTCAATGAAGCAGTCAGTGGCAAGAATATGGTGCCAGAGTTGTCGGCGCTCCATTTTTGACGTGGGTTCCGATCGGAGGCTCTTGTAAAAGTTGTGGGCGATTGCCGAGATTAAGATCGTGTCCAAAGTTCGAATAAACGGCCGGACCATTTTGCGACCACACGTTTGTAATGACACACCCAGACACAATTCCCGCGTCCTTTGTCAAAACACTACTTAGAGCACATTCTCCAGCAAATAATAGTGTCGGTTGATGCCCCAGAGGCCAGATGATCAGTGGCGTTGTTGCGTGCGTTTGTTTACTTGCTCGAGCCGGGTGGACCGTGCTGGCAGGCTCACTCCGGCGTGCTGAAGGTTTCATCGCCATTTTAGCCATTTGGGCAAAAATTTCCAGAGATGGTTTATTATTCCGTAGTCGGATATCGGCTTCCTGGGCCACTTCTTCCCTTTCGTAGGACGCGACGCGACATCGCTGACCTCGGGCTTGTTCATACTGTTGCGATTGAGAAGCCACAGATCGAAAGGTGACTTTCTCGTTTAAAAGACCACGTCTACTTCACGAATACTTGTATAATAGCTCAATCTGCAAAGATTCATCTCCTGGCGCTCACAACGCACTCACCAATGCACCCCTTCTTGGCGGGCGTGCTGCTACCTGTGCGACCTTTTGCGTCAGACGCGAGTACGATGTTGAAACCACGGTCGGCCAGCCACAAGTAAACTACCGGGAGACGATTACGAAGAAGGTGCCGTTCCACTACCTGCACAAGAAGCAGACGGGAGGATCAGGGCAATTTGCGCGCGTCATGGGCTTCGTCGAACCTATCCCTGACGAGACGCGCGATGACAACAACGATCCTGTACAGTTCGAGTTCCAAAATCGGACAGTGGGATCGAACATCCCGCCGGAATACATCTCGTCGGTGGAAAAAGGTAGACCAGACACTATAGCACATATTGCTCTACTAGTTCCGTCACATTTTGCTGGCAAGGTAGTCGCCTGACCTGCTTTCTGTGCCTCGTGTGTACCATGATTGGATGACACAACTTACTAAACAGACTGCTGCTGATTTCCTTGAGAATTCACGACGGCTCTGTCCGAAGCCCAATGACGCCTCCTTGCAAATTCTGTTAACTTCTCGGCCACCGAGATCGTTGTGCCAAAGGTAAAGGTGTGTACTCCTCCAAGCGTTTTGTCTGCTGTCCTTCATGTTTTCTGTCTCCAACACAGGCGCGAAGGAAGCGATGGAGAAGGGGGCCTTAATTGGGCATCCAGTTCAGGGGGTTCGGGTGGTTCTCGAAGATGGGCAGACTCACACAGTAGATTCCAGCGACATGGCGTTCCGTTTCGCGGCATTGATGGCTGTTCGAGAGTCCATCTTGAAGGCGGGAGCGCAAGTACTGGAACCCATCATGTCTGTGGAGGTGGGCAAGGGCGTCTGCAGAAGGCTTGGACAACTTGGCGATTTTGGTTGGCGTGATGTTTTGTCCGTCTTCTTGCTATCGTGAGCTGCAGCCATTGAGATTGACCTGCGCCAACCGGTTGTTTCCTCGATGTTTCTTGTCCGAAAATAATATAGTGATCGGCGCCAGCTTGCCGTCTAGTTGACTAATCTCGTGGAAGTTCCCCGGCTTACGGAGGTCGGGACGGTTCATTTCACTCACATGAAGAATTCTTCACAGTGCCAATTCGCAGGTGGAGTTGGTGTGGAGTTACGTGTTTTATTTTTGTCTCTTTTTTTCGGATGAAATTACAGCAGCTACGATACGCCGCCTTCCGACTGGGTTCGTATTAAAGTGCCCAGCGGGTTGACTTGTGGGATGTTCTCGCGATGTGTCGGAGTATTCGTACATTGGTACCCCGTGCAAATACGTAGCGATGTGTCTGCGTCCACGCTGCCCCACGCGTCGCGAGCTCAACACTCATTTCACGGCTACTTAGGTGATGGCACCAAATGACTTCCAAGGATCTGTGATCGGGGGCATCAATAAACGGTCAGGGATCATCCAAAACACCGACATGAGTGACGATGGGTCTGGTTGTGTGATCCAGGCTGACGTTCCTTTGGCTCAGGTGAGATTTGGGTGTGAGTTGTAACTTTTTTCGGAGGTCTCGATGTCCTGATGTCTTCCCCCAAACCACACATGATTTGTTGTCGTCCGTTGTCGTCCTTCGAAAAATATTTTTGTTTTGTTGTGGGTTTGCGGGAGAAGTCATGGACGTCGGATAAAACTGTCCAAGAAAATATTAACATGCTCTATCACACACTGCCCGGTGTGCCTGTGGTGGGTTTCGTGCTAAATGCTCAGAAAGCACGAAAAGAACATGCCAGGGCTTCCTGTGTTTGTCTGAATCTAATCCGGTTGGTGGGACCTTGTGTGTGCGTGTGGTATCGCTTGGACTGTACCGTGCGTGCCAAAATGTACCCTGTTCATGTGGACACGAGAACCCCGGAATAACAGGCTGTTCCAACAGCCTTGCGACCTTGAGTTGGGTGGCAACTACGCGTCACGTCACGAAATGATCGTTAGAGCATAGTGTATCCCACTATTTTTACTTTTTCCCACCAGATGTTTGGTTACTCCACGGACCTGCGATCGTCGACTCAAGGAAAAGGGGAATTCACCATGGAATACAACGAGCACAGTCCCGTGAGCAGGTAAAGGGCATGGTCCGGCCGGGCGGCGTTGACTTGTTTTTTTCAGCATAGTTCATTTGTTCCCTATTCACAACCTGCTGTGCATGCTTGCCCAGTTGTCAGACGTGTCGGAAATAGCATCGGCTGGAGCGCGCATCGTTGGATGTATTTCTCCCGTATGTGAGTGCCCCCCCTCGCCACGCATGACTCGTGCATCCCAAGCATGCTTGAGAGTCGGCCTCAGATACGTTGGTCCCCGTTCGCACGATGCCAACCATACTTGACCAGTACCAGGACATGAATCGCTATATCGTGTGCGCCCCACGCTATTCCTGTTACACCTGCCTCAATTTTCGCCATTCTTCGGCCTGCCGTAGCACCGGCCGCGGCGAGTAACGCAATATCCGTTATGAACGCCCCCCGCCATGGGACCCCCCACTCCCCCCCCAAAAAAAACACAAAAAATACACGGATGATGCACAAAGCTTTGAACGCGCCCCCAGGATTGCATCATTTTTTTGTTTTCGGTCCTCTTGCGCCTGTTTTCGCCTAATTTTGTGTGCACGCACAGGACAATCCAACTCACTGGGATTTCCTCTCGTTGTGGCTGTTGTCATCGTCATGACTGCCGTTGTTGTTCAATGTCCTGTTCATTATCCTAAAATCGAGGGCCACCTCCCCGGTACTCCTACCGATCAACGCACGAGCCGCGCTGTCGCAAGTGTGTCGATGCGCAACGCGGAAGTGCTGTATGGTACAGCTTGACTCACTGAGCACAATCCATGCTCCATGTTCCGACCCTTGTTAGCGGAAGTGGTTATGTAGGCGGGGTGTAATTCCCGGGCCTGAACCGCGCAAGCTTTCCCAATCACAATTCTTCTTGAATGGTCTCGTAGATGTTGGTCAGCCCAAGTTGTGGTTTCCAGCGCGATAGACCTGAGGCAAAAATTGTAAGTGTGTTTTTCCAGGGCGAAACGGGACCAACGCCCCCAGGGCCTTTTCGTCTTCGGGTGTTGTTTGTCGCCCCTTTGTTATTTGAGAACGACCTAGGTGGCCAGTGCACAATAAGAAATGCCCCCCCTAGGGCATTCACATGGAGCTACGTGATATACGAGGTCACTATGCATTCGCTTTTCTACGGGTTTCTTGTTGGTAAACAAGGTCATATGATAATGTGCATACTCATCCCTGTACGTGCGTGCACCGGATGAAGTGCACACACCAACAGTTGCTGCCACGCCGCGTCGATCGTTAGGAGCTACAGTAAGATATCGCTAAATCCCGCTGGCCTAGAGTGCTTTTTGTTACGTTTGTAATGTTCGCGCGTATCAAGATCAAACCCCCAAAAGGTTGACACATGCGTTGGTGCGCCTCAAAGTATGTTCCTCTGCAAGTGACTACCGGCATGAATGATTGCATGTCCAGAGTCTCTTCCGTGCGTTAATCTTTTTGTAACAGGGATGCCCAGCAAACAATGATGGCCGAGTACCGTGCACGGCTTGAAGCTGGGGGCAAATAAACGCCAATCGCGAACAGTTCAAGCAGTGTGTTTGGACGTTGGAGGGAACATTGGGTGCCACGCAAGACCGACAGGAGGGAGTCAACTGCTACTTGTCACTCGCGGGGCAGAAGTTTAGCCGGAGGAAGATGCTTTCGTTGTTGGGTTCTATCGACCCTGTCGGAGTTTCGCAAGGAAACCGTCGTCTCTCCCCTTGCTACCGGTGTGTAATCGAGTGGAAGATTCCCGTTTCGTTGGCGTGGATGGGTACAGGAATCACATCATTTTGTGGGTCCACGCCCATGTGCGTTTGTTGGTGGGAGTGCAACCACCTCATTTTGTGGGTTCCACCCACATGAGCGTTTTTTTGTCTAAGTCCATGATCGTTGGTGGTGGGAATGAATGTGTTGTCCTCACATCGACTGAGAATAATCCAGTATCTGCCTAGTATCTTCTGACACCTTTACTGGTCAACTGACCCCTTCCGTGTTCACTGGCGATATAACTAGCTAGAGAGGGCATCCTCATGAAATCAAGAGAAAATCCTGAGGCTTTTAGCAATTTCATCGAGTCCTGTCCGCGGGTGGATGTCTCGTCTCGATTCCCCCACCCTTGGCCAACCGGGTCTCAAGTGCCGATCCCGAGCTATGCCGCAAATGCTGCCACCTCTCAAGCATGGCTCGGTAAGGAATTGTAAATACCAGTTTCATGAGTTTTGCCTCCTGTGGCGGGACAAGATTCGAATTTGTTTGTTTCGCCATCCAAATAATATCGTACCGGGCTCAGGTTCGCCACACACAAGGGGTCGTTCTTGCAGATGGGCATGCGTCTTCATTCTTACTCAGTTGAGCATGGGTGATCTTCTGTGCAGGTGTCCCCAGCAAATTCATCTGCGAATAGTCTACAGGAGCGCATCTCTAGAGGAGCCGGGGCTTTTCTCGCGTTTAGCAATGCGCATCTCCCACGGATAAGTGTTCCTATCTTTTCGTGGTTCACATCGATGGATTCTTGTGCATCGTTCGCCCGCGCCAAGTGTTTTTTTTTGTCAGTGAGAGGCTAACCGTGTTGTATCCGGGTGCTGTATGCATATGTGAGATGGTATGCTGCTGCCCTTGCTGTTGCTGGAGTACGGGTGTGACAGTTTCCGTGGGGCCGCTGCATTTCGGTTGCTTCTGTCCTGAAGGGAGTTACTGTAGATGATGTGTGTAGCCTATGTGCACGACTCTGCGTAGGTGTGAAATGGTCATCATCCCCTCTTGTATCTATCAGTCGTGTGTGCGCTGTGAGGTGTGAGCGAGCGACTCGACAACGCAATGTACTAATTGCAATACGTTCCACAGCAAGAAACGACTCTACGCCATGTCCACGGCGTCGGAAAGGCGCCTCTGCCCTTTTCTTTTTCTTTTCCTCTCTCTCCTTTGTCTATTTTTGGGAGAGGAAGGAACAATGGTTTGCGCTTCTTTCTCCCGCGCTCTTTCTCCGGGTATGAAAACGAGAGCACGTTCTGGGGTCATGTTTAGGTATGATGGTTGTGACATAACACCCGCGGGCACTTGTCGAGACCATACAGAGAACTAGACAAAAGTAAGTGCCGTCTTCCATTCTCTGCTCTGTGCCCCATCATGGTAGACGCTTCTTTTCGGCTTTCGGGAGTCTTTTGTTATGTCCAAGGATAATATACGTCGTACTATCATACTGTAGAAAGGGAGATGGAACGTGTTTGTGGGTTAAACGTGGGAGAGACATCGCACACACCTTAGACTGACTGACTCTCGTAGTGCGATTGGTCCGCGACCGACCTGCTGCCAATAATGGCGGAAGCCGGACAAGGTACCCATATGGTCTTGTTGGAAAATCTTCTTGAGCATAGAAGCCGAAATCAAACCATTAGACTATGCGGCGCTGGCTATTCTAGACTACGTATGGTTTGAGTTCGGCTTCTACGGAGACCGGAAAGGTTTTTAATGTGAAGATAACAACAACAACAACAACAACAACACAAGTTTGTCCGTGTGGGGTTCGTGAGCCCCGGGCACTTTCGCGTCCGAGGAGGGCTACTGTCCGTCCAATCCAATGTTTATTTCGCGTAGTATCACTCGCCACCCACATCCTGCAGAATGTTTTCGGGTCTCAGACGGGTCCTCCTTCCGTCACCCATACTCTGGCCACGTAGGAGTATCCAGTATCCAGAGTCTCAGAAAGAAAAACACTTCAAAGTGTCCAGGCTGGGCCTTGTTGGCTGTAGCTGATATGGTACATAGTCTAGTCTACAGAGGTTCGCGCCGTGATCATCAACGTCACATGTCCGCCCAAGGCAGCCCACAGACCTCGATAATCCATGGAATTGTTTGTCGATTTCTCAAACTTATTTTGTCCCTTTTTTTCTCCTCTCCCATTATGTATCGCACGGAGTGGACGTCGTTAATAACGAACCATGGGCTATGAGTGCAAGCATATGGCCGGTGGCCGGGCACACTTTTTCGCTCGATGGGACACCAACGGAAAAAAACTAAGAACCATTTTCTCCCATTTTCGAAACAGCGCAACAGCAGTCCGCAGTCCACAACTACTGCTGTAGCTCCAGAAAGGAATGGAGGAAAGGAGGTCTTCTTAGTGCTCATCAGCCGAAGTTCGTGCCGATGCTACTACTCGCGTCTGCAGGTAACACTCGCACACACACGTGGTCAAGATGCAGTTTCCAAGCGGTCAATACCCACGTGCTGCGCTGCACAAAGATTCCCAATTTTTGCTCCGCATGTTCGACATAGACGTAAGTGTCCCAACAACTACAACAACCTCGAGCGCGTAGCGCGGGAAAATACCAAGTGTGTGCTGGAAAACACAAGACTGCCAGAACCAGGTAGGAAGTAAAAACTGGGGCTACGTCTGGGGAGCTGGGGATACCTACAGCAGTGGCGGGTGAAAGTTTCATTTTGGTTTGCGACTACTGTATGTGTCCGTTCGGTCCACACCTTTGGTCACCCCGCACGGTTTCGATCCCCACCCTGTTGGATGTTTTGCACTGCACCGTTCAACCGCGTTCAATGTCGCTCCTCGCCCCTCTCTCTCCCTCTTCAACACGACATCACCTTCTGCTCTCTCCCCAGGTATGGGAACACGTACCTTGTAGCTAGACCCGACTCTCCATAGAAGCCAACACCGAAAGAAAAGATACGCTTGCCAGCTTTGGTTCGATGGGTCGATGGTGTTGGGAATTTTGAATGCGTATGTATTTGTATCCATAAAATGTTTTTGCGGCTTACGCCGCCACGGTAAGTGAAGCGAGTCACAAGACGAATGGACGAATGGAATTGGCGTTGGAATGTTGGGATCGTCGACTTAATCGATTTCGTTGTGTGTCGTCGTGTTCACCGAAACAAAAAAGAGCGCTGAAAAGAGCGACCGACAGCGCGGATACTCCAAGCTTTCAAGACATGAGTGTATTTCAGAAATGCACGGCGCGGAGCACGTAGACTACAACAACATAATAAACCACCACCTCCCCTACTTCCTCCTCCCTCGCGTTG